ATACCTTCAGCCATTTATTATTGTATTATTATAATATCCCTTCCACTTGTGACCTGTCATCGCTACCACACAACACCCGTGGTCTCTGAGTTGTTATCGGCATCAAATTGTATCCGTCGAACCGGCCTTGATAAAACAAGTCGGAACGACATTTTGTACAGTATTTAAATAGAAACAAGAAATACCCAATTTAATATTTATTCATATAAAATTTATATAAATAAATATTAAAACTAAAAACAATAAATAAAATAAAAATTAAAAAGAAACTTCTGTTCTAAACTAAATTTAGATGATTGTAATATATTTAATAATTGTGTGTTTTTATTTTTGTCTTTCATATAATTTTAATCTAAATATCAATACAATAATTTTTATTTATCTATTATATTATAATTAATATAACAAACATAACATTTTTTTTCAACAATACTTTAGTCATTACTTTTTAAAGATCATTATAAATAGCGTTGTAATAAATATATTACTCATATTTCGTAATGAATAGTGTTAGAAAGTAATATGGTAACTTCTCACATTGCATTTGGCAAGTGTGTTGTACATGATTTAGTGACAAATGTTAATATATTCTTATCTGAAAAGTCATATATATATATATATATATATATATATATAGATAGATAATAATACGAGCAGATATTAAGAATTTTGATAAGAATAAAGATAGATAAACGTAAATAAATTATATGTAAAGCTTTATTAAAAAAAACTCTGATTGATTGATTGTAATTAGATCATAAAAGAGCTTTTTTTAAAAGTATGTTAGAGGTTATATGACTCTAAAATATACAGACAAGATTTTGGAATTAAGTATTTTTATATAGTATTTTTAAAACTATTTTTATTAAATAACCCAGAAATAATGAAATTGTTAAAGTAAAACATCAAAACAAATATTTTATAATTTAGATTTAAAACAATGCAAGAGGACGTTTTTCCTGCCGCTGAGAAAATATTGTCTGATGTTGAAAATATCTTCAAGAAAGATATAGATTTGTGAGTATTTTAAGTTTAATACATTTTGACCATCATTAATGATAAAATTTAATATTCTGTGTATAAAATAAATATATATTATATAAATTCATTATAATGTGGTTTCTCTGTATAATAATTTGTACCTGAAAAGTAAAACTTGTAATTATTAACTTCGGTATAATATTTAAAGTAGCTATTTAAAATTCCATCAATTTTAAAACACCAAAATGGTTTTAAAATGAATTTTTATATTAATTTCTTAATGTTTATTATGAATCCATAATTAATTGTAATATATGAAAATATATGCAGGAACAAAATTATAATTGTTCATTTTTTTATTTGATTTAAAAATTAAAGATTAAATATAATTGTTCTTATGATTATTAATAGTACTTTTTATCAAATAATATTTTTTTATATATCAGAAATGTATGAAAGATAACTTTGTAAATTATTGTAAATTATAATATTTGTAAAAATTGTAATTTTTATATATTTAGTCTATTTTTTCAATCATTAAATAACTAATATTAATACAATCGATATACTTTATATCAATTCAAAGTTATATATATAGTTAATAAACAATTAATTTTTATAAATGTGAACAGATTATGTATCATCTATTCATCTCAAAGTGTTATTAAATTTTATTTTTTACAAAATTGAACACAAATAAATACAAGAAAATTTTAATATTATATAATAAAATAATTTATTTTCTTTAATAAAACAAGAACTTTGTTGAATGCTTAGGCAACCAGATTTATAAATTTTGAAAACCACAAACGTACCTAAAAGATTAAAATACTTTTTTACTTATAGAAGAATAAGAAAAATAATAGATACATATGTGAAGAATACATATATAATTAATTTAACTTGAGTAAGTGTAATATTTGACTAATATTATTAAACACAAAAATTTATTAACAGAGTCGAATATTAATATGATAAAAAGTTGAAACATCGATTGAAGATTAGATATATTTTTATCATTCGAGTAGATAAAAAAAATAATAATTAATTGTGTTTTTTAATCCATTGTGAAATATCTTTAATTGTATTATAATTAACAAAATTTGAGTCCAACTTGTAAATCATAGACACAAAGTGCCTCTGTTTCAGATATTTTACCAAATTCTCATCTAGGTTCATTTCTATATCCATAACAGCTTCTCTTCTATCATTGTAATTAAAAACGTTGTATGACTTTATTATTAATCACTTATCCCTCTGCTATTTCTCCTATAATGTATTACCTTACATACTTAATATTAATATTTAGTAAGAAAACATACAGCAGTTTCATCAAAAGCTTAAAACGCTGTTTGATGCATCTGAGTAGTCAGTTCGTTCAAGGATTCTAAATTCTTTCCCTCTTTTATTATCTATGAATGATTGTTATCACGTTTTTTACACTTCGACCTATTGTCTTCACTTACACACATATATAATATTTATTTTGCTTGTATAATCATAAAAAAAACATAATATTAGAATGCTTCATCTCTTATATTATTTAAGCAGTGACATAGTATAAATCTTAATTTTGTTTATAGTTTGGTAATCAAAACAATTGAACTCTCGTTTCTTCATAATTTCTCCTTATTTTATTTTCAACTCACTATTTTCTTAAAGATCCTCCAACCAGGTATCTTATAACTATTATTACAATGGTTGAAATTGGAGTTATATATAAAATAATATATATATATATATATAATTGAATATGAATCTATGACAATTCTTTATTAATAATTAACTGTATTCTAATTTCATCATAATTTTATTTGATTATATTTTCAATTTTAAACAAAGCTTTTAAATTCTGTTATATATAAAAGTAATGTTTCAAAACAAGTTTTATCATTATATATGTTTTACATAAATAAATGGATAGAATAAATTAATAAAAACTTTACAAAAAATCTACTTATCTGATTTTCATTTACTTTACTGTAATTAGGGTAACTGTAATATTTAAATATTAATATTAAATTAATACTTATATCAGGTGCTATATAGATTATATACTATATAATACTATAATAGATATATATTATAGTATATTATAGTTTTAATATTCATCAGACCAATAATCCGTAATTCTATATTACTGTTTTATCAAATTGTAATAAAAAAGAGTTGTAATTACTGTTAAGATATATTTTAATCAAGAGATTTATATGTAATATTTTATACAAAGAGAATCTCCAGTTTATTTTTATTGAACAATGTACATGCTTTTACGTAATATTACAAAATCTAATTGGTGCAAATTAAGTAAAGTACTTTTTAAAGTGCTTTCAATGAAATCATTTCTCATCGCTTTTAAAAGATTTTCTATATACTGCTTAATAGAAACTATTTAAAAATTACGTTCTATATATTGAATTCGCGTACAGTCAATTTATATTTATATGGTATAAAAGTTTCAGAACCAACAATGAAATAAACTTAATTTTATTTTAAATATAGTGTCTTTTAAAAATAGTAATTTTCTAAAATTTTGACATATTTCATATAGTAAAATTTATAAAAAGCCTACAATTCTACAAAAAATGTATATTACAAATTATTAATTAAGATAATTCTATTCACGAAAAACCAATTGGTATGTTTAAATAGTTAATAGTTATCAATAATGAAATCTGAAAATACGAAAGCAGATTATTAAAGTATCTTCTAATAAATTCGGTATTGCTTTATCTTTGTAGATACATGAATAAATACACAGATTTAACTAAATTATTTTTCATTTCAAGATAGTTTTGCATATTTTTTTTAAGTAAGAAAATTATTTTGAAATTTTTAAAATTGATATTTCAAGTTTTAGATCGAACATGTATTATCAGTGCTTACATATCATATTTTAAATTATTGAATTATCAATAAGTAACCGTTTTTTCTAAAGCATATCTTTCATAAGCATTCTTCTTAATTATACATTATTTTTCACATTGCTTCTATGAAATTACTGTATGATCACTTATGTAAATACAAATCAGCTGATTAGTAAAATTACTAAAATTTTATAAAATTTGAGAACAATTTAAAAACTGGAATGATATTAGAATTGCGCAAATGTGAAACAAAATAAATACACGAACATTGAAATCATTAAAAAATAATCAAAATATCACTGTTTCAATGAGTTTCAATCTGATTACAAACTCTTATTATATGTTGTCAACTCCAATGCGCCAGCTTTCTACTTCTATTGCACCATACTAGATGATATGTACATAAAGATAACAATTGATACTATTTTATACCTTCTAATACAATAATTTACTTAATAATAAAACAAGTTAAAAAGATAAACATCTTTATCACTACGACTAATTTTTCAGCATTACCATAATTGGTCTCGTGATGCGTTCATATGACATCAAAAGTTTCTGAGTAAACATCTTATACGTAAGGTTCGTGAAACTGTCGAAAAATCTTAATACCATCAATATAATCTATAATATAAAACTGTTAATTAAATTAATTCTTTATTATTAATATTTGACCTAACTAAAAATGTTTTTTTTAGAATAAAAATAATAAACATGAAATTTTTATAGCTTTGTCTTTATTTTAATTCAACTTATTGCACATCTTATCCCAATATAGTAAATAATTTAATTTAATCTTAAAATATTTGTGAACTATTAATAAGAAATAATATAAAATATATATTTTAATTTCTTTAAACGTTTAATTTACAACATGAATTTTGTTGAAATTATCTTTTTTACTAATATAGTTAATGAAAATTCGTTAAGAAAAAATACATTTCGATATTTTATATGTTCTTTATATGCACTTATAAATAATTTTCAATTTTAGAACCAGCTTTGAAATTATTCCAGTGGAAGATAATCAAAATAAATCGCCTGTACTGCATGACAATAATTCCTTGGGACTTGCATCATGGTGTATTCGACCTCTTTTTTGTTATGTTTATAATCGTTTATTTGATTTAAGATTAAATCAATGTCGCCGGGAACATTCAACTGTAATTTCAAAATGGCTTTTAGGAGCACTTTTATTAAATCCAGATATTTTAACTTTTTGGAATATGAGAAGACAATTTATTCGAAATGGTAAACTTGATCCTATGGAAGAACTGCGATTTGTAAATATTGTACTTTACTATAAAGCAAAATGCTTTGAAGCTTTTTCATACCGGCGTTGGATTTTGAAATTATTACTTTTTAAAAATCAAGATGCGATACATAAAATAGAATTATTATTTCGTAACGAAATTCAAATTTCTTCTATGGCAGCAAATAGATATTCAAATAATTGCCATGCATGGAATCATCGGAAATATATTATTTCAATGTTTGAGACTGTATGTATCAGTGTATTTGGTAGTCTTTTAGATAAAGAATGGGAAGAGTCTACGAGTTGGTGTAATTCTCATGTTTCAGATTACAGTGGATATGATTATCGTCAATTTTTATTGAAAAGATTACTTTTACGTAAGCGACGATATGATCAGACAAAAATATGTTCAAATGTTTTAGAAAAACGTCGAGATATTATTATTAAATTTGTTCAGAATGCATTACATGATTATAATAATGTTTTTCTACATACTAACTCTTATGAAAACATTTTAAATTTATTACATGGAGTGAATTTTACAAAATATTCTGAAGTGACCTTCGAACAAACATTGATTAATCTTTCATATTGGGTTGAAGATTGTATTATAAATACGAAGTTACTTCAGACATTTTCAGGACATGAAACTTTATGGTATCATCGACGTTTTCTTGTATCCTCTCTTCTTGCTTTAAATAATTCTTATACAAATTTTTTTTTGTATAAAATTGAAAATCTAAATTCTACAGTTGCAACTACAAATATATCTAAAAGCTTATTAGAAATTGCATTAAAAATGCAAAATAAAGATTTAATAGATGTTGCAAAACGGTATGGAATACATCAAAATAATTTAGCTAAAAAATTTTTTAATTTTCTTATTTACATTAAATTTCATTCTTAAAGCTTATTCTTAATTTTATTGGTAACCAACATTATTTTATCATCTACAGATATGTGGAATACATTGTAATAACGCATATTTATTTAATTTATAAAATAGAGTTTATTGAAAGAAATAAAAATATACACTCTATACGATTAACTTTAATGTCAATATTAAAGAGGAATTTATAAATAGGATAAAATATACAACATTGATTGACCAAAACTTGTATGTATTAATATATTGATTAGAACAAATAAATAAATTTAAAAAATACTTTTTTATTTACTGGAATTAATTTGAAAAATTTACACTTCTACTGGATTTCATTGTAATCTACTTTCTTAATAAAATATCTACAGAATCAGTTTTATTAAACCATACTGTGCAAGATAAATTCTATTGATGTATTGTAAGCATTGCAAATTACTATACCATGTTATAAAGAATAAAATAATATAAAAATTATAAATATATGTGCTAGCAGACTATATTATAAACAATAATAGATACTTTTTAATACTATTGAGTAGAATAAAGAGATTTTTACCCACAAATATATGTGTAAAATATGTAGAGTTAATTTTTAATATATACATTAATATATCTAGGTATGTGAATAAAAAATATTTATATTTTCATGTAATGAATTTATTAAATATTTTAATTTTGTATATTTCCTAAAATAAAGAAAAAATAAACGTTTGCAGACGTATCTATTAGCAACATTGTATTATCTATTAGCAACATTGCATACTTGTATATTCATATTTGTACTAGTGATAAATTAAGAAATTTGCAATTTTTTGTTTAAATATTATATCATTGAAAGATCAACAATATTCAGAAAAGTTAGTGTATTCAGTTAACTTTGGATGCTATATTAAACAAATTTATGAGATATAATTAAAACTGTAGAAAAACTATTAATTCGGATTTTCTAGAAGAGATTTAAAATTATTGTTTTGGAAATACATTAGATGTTTTTCAATACATTATTCTTAGAACCATAAAAAATTTTGGTGTACAATTCAGCCAAGTTAAATTTGATTAAAAACTATAGTATCAGCTTTCCACTCCCCTCTTGAGTTTCTAAAATTGGAAAAAGTTAAATTTTCTTCGATTCAATACAAGCCAACTGACACGATTAAAAGTAGGAAATGACTTATTTTAATTGCTATGTATCTTCTATAATTAAATGTCCGTATTTTCTTAATTATTTTGATATTATATTTAAAAATATATTTTTAAAAAATTGAAATCTTATATTAGTTTATAATTTTTGCATTGATACAAAAATAAGTTTCTTCAATTTTTTATCAACTTTTATTTAATAATTGATAGTCATAAAAATTGGATTTTTAGGCTCCCTACGATATAAAAATTTAATAAGCATGTTCCGTTTATTAATAAAGTTATTTTCTTTTCCATTTATATACCGATGCATATATTTCATATCCTAATAAGTGCAGTATATCAAATCTATCAAATTTACTAGTTTAATTATATATAAAATATTAATAATTTTGTTAAAAAAAAAATTTTTTTATTCAAGCAAATATAATTTTTTTATATTCTATCTAAACCCTGTATCTGTATTTTAATATTATGAACTCTAGCGTGTATGTCATAAGTATATATGTTTATCCTTGCATAATAGTTGTGCGTATGTAAACATATAAATCAAGTCCTATCTTTAATAAGAGAAAATAATTTGTTGTAACGGCCAAGAAAAGCAAAAAATTCTATAGTTCAATGTTGTATAATCCTCGTTAACGGCCATGTATGAATTCATTTTTATTTAAAAAATAGTTTTTATATGATGGTTAATTAGTCTGCTTCTATAGTAAAAGCATTTAAAATTTTTTATTACTTAGTAATAATACATACAGTAATAAATGTATTATCACATATATCTGAATAGTAAACATACCAAACAATAAATTTCTTGGCGATGAACATAAATAAACTATCGATATCTCGTGAATAAAATTTAATAAATAAAAAAAGATTTGCCAATCGCAAAATGTAAAAAGCAAATTTTTCTTCAAAGTAAGATGGTCTGCTAGAGCTACCAAAGAAAAACCGCGAATTTCAAATGTGAAGTGTGAATTCAAATATTTTTCTTGTTAAGAAACAAAAGAAAATTATGATTGTATGTGTAGGAACACTGTGAAAGTATAAGTTGTTACTATCAGTGGACGGTAATCCCAACTAAATCATCAGATAAAACGAAATAATCAATAATATAAACGACAAATTTAATAGCAGAATAATAAATTAATAGATAATTGTAGTTTGTAGTGATTGTAATGATAATTTAATTAATATTTAAGTTACGATAACCAAGTTTAATTATAATAATTGAATATATTTGTTATCCTTTCAATCAAAATAATTATATGTATAAACTAGATAGAACTTGCAATCTTTTTAAATAACCTAGAAAGTGAAACTATTACAATCTGCGTTCTGTTTTAAGCGTTAGATGATTTGTATTTTTTAAACGTAACATAAGTAATTTGTATACCTTAAAATACCTTCATAGTAGAAAATTATCTCATTATTTCAAATTAAAATATATCGTATTCATCGGTTTGTATATTTCATAATATTCAAATTAATACTTAATATACACTTAATAACACTTTATTCGTAGGTATATTGTATATAGTTCGTATTATATGAAGTGCTTTAAAACTGCTTTCAAAATAAAAATAAAAAGAATAATACTGCAAACATAATCAAAGATAAATAAAATATATTGTTTAATGAAATAAATTTTAAAATACAAATGTCTATAGAAAGTAAATTTATAATTCTAGCATAGAGATGACCAATTGAATAAAGACAATGGAAAACTCAGTGAAAATATAATATCCCAATATAATAAAACAAAATCAATTAATATAATTAAATATAAAATATTAACTATTAATTATTCAAGTTACAATGATTTTCTTGCACATATAAAAACAGATAAAAGAAAAATATAATAGGTATAAAAAACAATATGTATTAATAAATAATAAATAATTTTAAATAAAATTAATTAATATTGTTAGAAGCATTAAATGTTTCAATATAGTGATTAATTATTCGTTTCTAATAATGTTACGACTCTAAAATTAGGATAAAAAATTACTAATAATTTTTTTAACATATCGAATAAATCAAAGCATTATCAAAATGAAAAAATTAATATTACACGGGATATAATACATATAATATAATGCATAAAAGAATATTACAGTATTAAACGAACAATTTTGAATTAATCACGTGTAATATATAACAGTGAAATATAGAAATATTTGATGATGACAAATAGATATACAATTTCAAACTATATCTTCATTATTCTTTTCTTGATAATATTTATTGTATATACATTTGTACGTAAAAATATATATGCATAAATTGTGTGGATTTAAAAAAAAACTCTTAATATATTACCATGTAAAAATTTCAGTCTGATAAATTATTTATTGCGTACATAAATTAATTGATAATTACTTTTATTAATTCAAGTCATAAAATTAGTAAATTATATTAATTATATCGAAAGAATTAAATTTCAATACATTCATTGATGATTAAATAATTTAACTGAAAAACAGTAGAGATATCGTATCAAACATTAAATTATGTACCTAGTTATAATTAGAATACACAATAGACTTTTTAATTGACATAATTGACATAAGCAGTATTTCAAATAAAAATACTTGTAATTCATTTCATGTATAACCAAATTATATGAACTACTTCCAGACTGATTTCAAATAATACGAAATTAATCTTTTATTTTATCTAGTCTAACTATTAATTGGTCATATTTTTCATCTATGTTTATATTATTTTAATTACGTAATTTGTTTTTATTATTAATTTTTATTACTTTAATTTAAACTATTGAAAAGATAGAATAAAACTTTCTATCATCTATTGAATTAAAAAATTATTGAATTCTCAGTTAATAAAATTTCAGTGATTATTCAATTTTGATAATGTATGACATTTTATAGTAGTTATGTAGTCCTTTAATAGTTATGAAAAGGTAGTATACTCAATATTTATATTTCTTACAAAATTAATGGCAAGTTTTTGTACTTACAAGGACTAATAATTGAATATATTTTTTTTAATTTATTTTCTGTTATTACCAAAATGAACAGTGTGAACAATCATGTTTTGAAATTAAACCTTCAAGATACTTAATATTCATATTATATCTGGTTAATATTAGATTATAAAAATTATATTTTCTTTACAATAGATATAATTTGAAGACATTATGTAGATGCATATATACATATGTAACAAACTAGAATTGCACTATCTAATTGTTCGTTTAATTATAAAATATGGATTGAAAATGTAAAAATAATAATTATACAAGAAATAAAAATCAAATATATGTTATGATCATATCGATATTAGTATACTTCAATATTATTTACAAATTTTCCATTATATCAAAATCAAAAGTATACTTAATTTATATTTGTTATATACTTACTATTTAGGACAATTGAAGTAACTAAATATTTTACAGGTACGTTTTAGAAACTTTTTAAAATATATTACAATAAATTTAATTTAAATATTTCATACGAGATACTCCATCAGTAATACGTAAATTTGTAATCAAAATGAAAAAGCAAAATAAAATAATACTTTTAAAATTCATTTTCGATTTATGTAAAATTCAGAATATTTTATTGTGTGATTTAAAATTATTTATTTTTTATTTTAAATATTTACTATAAAATTTTATGAACAATATTAGTAGCATGCCTTTTTGCAACTTTCATTATAAAGTTAAATTCTTTGGTACTTTTAAATGTTCGGAAATATAATTATTGGAGATTGAACATAATAAATAATAATAAGCAATTAAATTAATTTCTTTTATTTAGTCAAAAATTTTTAAAGAAAATTAATTTTTATTATTATTGAGATTTGTATAATATAAACTCTTTTCATATAATACACAATGTATCTTATACATTGTATGAAATTCCATTGTGATATATACTGAACCAAAATATCGTAATATATTTGACTTTATATAATACATTTTATTACATATAAATATTAATTTTGTAGCTATCTACATGTGATTTTTACGGACTCTGAACTAAAACGTCTACTGCGCATGTAAGATTTACTGCTCAACGGGATATAATTGGTTTAATTGTAAGCTTGAGAACTCTGTCAACGTGCTATATTATAAGATAGCTTGAAATCATACAGAATGAAGGTAAAAATCATAAAATATCTTATACATCATATAAATAATATAATGCATTTCGTAACTTTCATAATAAATGCGTTTTTATAAATAATCTTACATTTATAAATATTTCTAATTTCTAATATGTATTTATTGGTTAGTTTTTTTAATTCATTTGTATAATTGTTCTTTTTAAGTAATTTATTTAAAGTTTTTTAATATTAGAAATGTTTCATTAATTTTTATAAGGTATGCGATTGTAATGTTACTATTTCGAAATGTTAATAGTTTAAATTTATTTTGAAAGTTCTTTAGATAAAAGATAGACGTTTTTTAATAAATGAACTATATTATAATACAATATTAATTCTAGTAAATTTATATTGGTAAATAATTGTATTGGTATATTTAGGATGAGATTATTGAATTATTTTTTAATCTTACAGTAAAATATATAGTATAATAATTAAGTTTATTTTTATTAGTCTTTTAATATTACATTTCTTTAAAGACCAACAAAAATTATAAAAGTGTTACATAAAATTATATTTAAATTGTATAAAAAATGAGTAAAATTGTAAATTTATTGATTATAGAAAATGCTTTTCATTGAATTTCTTCAATATTTAATTTCAGTTATATTTGCATAATATAAAAATAATTGCAACTAACTTATTTTTATGTGTAAAAAAGAATATTTAAGATTTAGAATATCTAAAAGTATAATTATAATTTTTATATTTATTAACGTTTCTTATTAAAAAAAATTAAAAAGATATTCAATTAACATAAACATAGTGATATATAATATAATATGTTTTTTATATAATTCTTAAATTTAAGTATATTCAAAATTAACAAATTTATATATCAAGAATATAAGATTATCATTTTTAATTTAATATATATTTGATATAATTTTGAAATTATTAATTATAGATTTATAATTAAAATGGATAGTAAACAGTTTCAATATATTGCTGTGTATCTAATTGTAAAATAAAACTAAATATAAGTTAGAAAATAGTATATATCTACTATAATTTATAAGCAATTATAATTTTTAATTTAATGAGAGAAATATTCTCATTAGAGAAATAAATAGTAATATAATGTATAAATAAAAAATTTATTTCATTTTTAGCTGAACGTATCTTATCCAGCAACTGGATGTCAAAAACTTTTTGAAATTGCAGATGAACACAAATTAAGAATATTTTATGAAAAACGTATGGGTGCTGAAGTTGAAGCTGATTCTTTAGGTGATGAATGGAAAGGATATATAGTCCGTGTTGCTGGAGGTAATGATAAGCAAGGATTTCCAATGAAACAAGGTGTTTTAACTAATGGTATTTATATTTTCATATTTTATTATTAATTTTTAAGTAAATGTTGTACATATGTAATGTAAGAATGATCTTATTTGTAATTGCTCAAGTATACGAAATATAAAAATAATTTGACAAAAAATTTAATCTTTTACCTTATTTCAAGTAATGTATATAAATTAAATTAAACAAAAACATTTTAAATGGTTTATTGTATAATTTTTGTAATATATAATAAATCAGTCTTGACAAGTATAAATTATTTTATTTACATATATTAACTAAATTATAATTTTTTATTATAGGTCGAGTTAGATTACTTCTTTCAAAGGATCATTCTTGTTACAGACCACGTCGTGATGGCGAACGAAAACGTAAATCTGTACGTGGATGTATTGTTGATGCTAATTTGTCAGTTTTAGCCCTCGTAATTGTAAAAAAGGGGGAACAGGTATAATCAGATAAATATTATTTTCATATTGTATATATTCAGTAACACTAAAGTACTATACATTAGATGTAACATAATTGCCTTATTTAGACAAGTTGTGGATTATTTAAATCAATAAAAATAACTATAATTATGAGAAATATTGAATTCTTTAAAATTTGAATAATTTTTAAATCTTACTATTAATTATTCATAAAATATATTTATTAAATTAAGATATGAATGTGAATCTAAAATCATAAAATTATTTGGCTCCGATATTTCAAACTCTATATAATGTCTTGATTGTGAGTAGTATAGTGAAAAATCAGATTTATTTATAGTTTTTATTACAATTGTAAAAAATAAAAAAAATTTTTTGATTTTGTGCTAGAAATATGTTTTGTTTAATTTTTAGAATATTGTTCTTAAATTTATTTTACAAAAGTAACTGTTTACAAAATTTTATTCATTTTTTTAAATGTGTTTGCAAACAGCATTTTTATTTTAGATAATAAATTATTTTAAATTACTATAAGAAATAAATTATTATAACGATTTTTTATATATTTTAAGGATATTCCTGGGCTTACCGATACAAATATTCCTCGTCGCTTGGGACCTAAACGAGCAAGTAAAATTCGCAAACTCTTTAACCTAACAAAACAAGATGATGTTCGACGATTTGTTGTTAAACGACCAGTGCAAAAAGAAGGTAAAAAAGAACGCTTCAAGGCACCCAAAATTCAACGTGTTATTACTCCAGTCACTTTACAAGTAATGTGCTTAAATAATGTTATTCCAATATGCTCCATAAATATTTCTATATATATACTATAATGTAACTACTTATATATTTTTAGAGAAAAAGACATAGAGTAGCTCTAAAGAAAAGACGCTGTTTAGCTCGAAAAGAACAGGCTGCAGAATATGCCAAGCTTTTAGCTCAAAGACAAAAAGAAGCAAAAGCAAGACGACAAGAAGAACTTAAGCGAAAACGTAGCGCTTCATTACGTGACTCTAAATCTTCAAATCAATCAGTAGCTGTTGCAGTCAAATAAACTAACATATATCATGTATCAAATAAAGATGATGATCTGTTATTCCTTGTTAAATTTCTTTCCTCAATAATATAATGCAGATTTTTCTCAATCGTATATTAATTTTATCGTTATAAATTCAACTATTTTACAACAAAAAATATAATTTAAAATTCAAATTATTAGCAGTATATAGAAAATAGTAAATGAAATTCTAAATTTTAATTCATGGATACATTCGTAATTATATAATTAATAATAGAATAGAACTTATACATTATATAGTATATTTTTAAAATTATGTAGAAAAAGATTTTGGATTGATTACTAATACTCTTAATTAAATTAAGAACGTAAGTATACTATAAGCATAAGTTTTAAAAAGGAAAAACCACTTGGTTGATTCGCTATGAAGTTAAAATTTTACAAATTTTGGGGTTTTAAATATTTAAAAAATTTTTAAGAATTTACATTAAATATGTTACTTTTAGTACAGTTCTCCAATTTTATAAGTAAAGTTATACAAAGATTGACTTATATTACAAATAAAAAATATCTTGTTTTTTTATATACTTTATAAGAATATTGAATAAAATACATTTATGTGTATATAAAAATTTAGGCAAAATCAAATAATTGAATTCTATAACATTTCGAATGTGAATTCATGTAAATAAAATAATCATTTTTTTAGATTTTTATAGAAAATTATTTCATAGTCTAGTATTTTTATTAGACAGTGTACTACAGTAGTATTTTATATATTTCAAAAATACCGTTGATCTAATTAATGATTATAGTTTCTACCATTTTTTATTTATTTAATTACATATAGTAAAGATTATGGTATAATAATTAATTTTAGCAGTTCTGATAAATAAAATGAACAACAAGAAAGATAAAGTACATATATTTACTGAGTATAAAATTAAGAACAAATTTTATAAATGACAATGAATTGCAAAATAGCAAATTAGGTTTATTTATACATATCTGTAAATAGAATAAGAATGTTATTAATTAAAAATTATCCCTCTGAAGAAAATTATTTTATTTTATTTAATGTTTTGCTTTCTTCTACAATTATATAAATTTATAAATATTTATGTATACAAAGAAAATCTAATAAATTATTATAATTATGTGAGATTTCATTGTGAAAATATAATTTTTTAAATTCTTTAGTATTTCACAATTTAAATATAAAAAAATTTATTAAATGTATAAAATTGAAAAAAAAGAATTAAAATGTAATATTAATAATACACAATTCATTTTTAATTGATTGAAGAGGTTCAGTTTTATATTGAATTTCTTCGTATTACAATTTGTAAGCCAATCAGCTTTAGCCTCGGCAATGGTGCAAGGGTATTTTACTTACGTTAAAAAGAGACGCATTTTCAGAACATGAAAACATTAAATTGCCTTATAAAAAATTTGTATCAACTTTAATACTTTTAGTATTTGATTACATTTTTATTTAATGTATAGTTACAAAATAAATTCTAATAAAAATCGAAGCTTTCAATGTATTATAGTGTAGGTACTATATAAGGTAACTACAATGTTTATTTTCTAAATTTAGGTTAGATATTTTATGAATTTTATAGTTTCTAATTTGTATTTGTATGAGTTTTTCATTTCATAATTTTTATTGTGTATGTAAAACTTATATTTAAAATTTCTGATAATGATAACTGATAACTGAATGTAATTATATTGCAGATTTATTATCAAATATTTATAATTAATTAAGTCATGAGTTTATTCAAATGATATAGTATTAAAGTGAAAATAATCTTGAATAAATTATTTATAGTATTAATACTATTGTAATTTAGAATAAACAGGATTAGTATAAATGGAAAATTTTTATTTAGTTTATAAGTGTTTTATTAACAGCTTCAATTTCTTTCCTACAAATTAATTTTATATCATAATTTAATTTATAATATATACATTTTTCTTACATAAAAAAAATTTAATTGAATAAAAAAAAAGATTTAATCATTGTTAATGTCGGTTAAACTTTTTTTTTGATTTTTAAAATATTCATAACATTCATGTATTTAAAATCATAAAATATAATTTATTTTTAAAATCCTCTTCCAAAAATTTAAAATAATATATTTTATTAATATAATTAATACTGTGGCATTTATAAAATTATCATGAAGACAAAAATTGATGATATAATACAGCTTTAATTCTGTAAATTTGTACTTTAACAATCCTTTATGATTTTTCTGAAAATGTAATGGGAAGATGATTTTTTAAATTAGACAATTAGGCAATTTGTATAAATTATAGATTTTTATAAAAAAAGAATGACTTGATTATATATACAATGCAATATATAATTATAATTTTATTTTTTCTACCAATTTATATTTATTTTATTTGTTGTTTTACATGTACTAGTTAGTATTCAATTCTATAGATTATTATAATTTCTATTTATAACATTTCTAGTTATATTTAATTTTTTTGTAAATATGAAATTATTTGGAAATGAATAAGTCATTAAATTACACAACACCAGTAAATAAAAAATAATACCAGGAGATAAAAATCAATACAAAAAAAGCTAAAATTATAATGAATATACAATGAATGCAATTTTTTGTACATAAATTCTTTTTTATTGATTGAAATAAATATATTACATATATTTTTTAATTATTTTTATACAGTTTGAATCACTAATTTAGTATTTCATTAAGATTCATTCATCTATAGCAGTTTATTTATATATATTAACATAATCAATTTATGTTTTATACAATTTCACAATTTTCAAATGATTTTCTTTTTAATTTTAATATATTATTTTATTTCTTGAATTACAGAAGCAATGCTTTAATATTATAAAAATAAATTTTTTTTATTTCGAAAGAAATGATTTTCATATTTATATACAGATTTTAAATAAGTATATTTAATTTATTTTCAGTTAATTTTATAAAGTATTAAATAACTTTAATAAAATATTAAAAAAATAATTTAAAAAATAATAATTTAAGAAATAAATAATTAATAAATAGCAGTTTTATTATTGGTAAAATGATTATAACAATTAAAAATAAACTAATGAATGCGATATTTTTACTAATATAAAAGTTACTAATATAAAACTAGTTTACTGCAATAGAAATGGATTTGAATTTTTAATGTCAAAGCTAGAAATAAAAATATAAAAAAAAGGAAACAATTATATTTCAAAACTTAAAATCAAAAATGTGAAAGCATGTATTTATTACATGAATTACTGCATTTTATGTTCATTTTGAATATATTATTAGTGTCATTTATAAGAAGTATAAAAATTTTCTAAACTATAATTTGATATTGAAAAAGTACTATTAAAATCTTGGATTCGACATATAATAACTAAGATTTTTCAATTTCATCATAATTCAGTAAATATGAATATATATTTAGAATCAAATATCTTACAAGCTAAGTAGATAACTATTGTTTTAAGTATTGCGAAGGCTCGTAATTATGTTATACATAGATTTATGCATGAGTAACAAAAATAGATATACAAAATAAAATGTTTTTCGCGAATAATCTTTAATGTATGGTAGGTATAATAAAAAAGATATACTTGATAGAGTTCCAAATAAAACGAAAATGGATCTATCATAATCTAGCATAATCTTACTTAAGACTGTTCTCCACGTGCTTGATGAATGTAACTATTTCTATCATAGTGGTACTGAAATTTAGTAAGACCTTGGAAGTATTATCGATAACCATACATATCAATAATATATTTATAAATTTTAATGCTTTCCAAATCCATATATGTATGTAAGGATAATTAATTATTTTTATAGACAATGTAATTATTCGCTGTAATGAATTACACTGTGAATTGTTAATAAAAACTACAAGCTGGTAATGACTTTTGGTCCTTACATATTTAGTTCATATTTTGTGACGAAACTTATTTTATTCCATGCAAGGCATCATGTTCATTACACAAACTTTGTACATAGTTATATCACATGTATAAGAAATTTCTAATTAGGGAGGATATATGATAATAATTATTATCTAGTAGTCGAATTTGGACTATTTGATCCTTACTCCGTTGTTTTACAGTATCTACATATCATTATTAAAGCAACACAAACAAGCACAAAGTATGCATTTGTCAATTGTACGAAGATTTAAATATGAAGTAAATGCTCTTATCTTCAATTTGAGATCACCTGCTTTACTAACTTTAATTCTTCAAAGATGACAGTTTTAGTACATCTGCAATTATATTTGGGGTAAGGAAATCCCATCTATTTCTATTCGACTTAATTTATTACTCCCTCTTCCTTCTCTTCACTAAGATTACCATTCAAAAAAAAAAAATTAAAAAGAAAACTATTAAAATTAGTAAAATGAGATTTTTAAAAGCTTATCCAATTTTTGAAAAAGATTAATGATGAAATTCATATATAGTTTGGAAAATAGAAAAGGAGTATATCCACTATATATCCACTACTTAATATATATTTATATATTTATGTGCGAGATATTAATTTAACCATAACGTGCCGATTTTACTTTTTGGGTACTTTTGATTGAGTTTGCCTGATGAGCATTTTCTTATAAAGTCGTATTTTTACGTTCCCTTTTTTATATTGTATTAAAAAAAATGTTTAAATAAAAACAATCAGAATTATATCAATATGTGTGGGTGTGTGCGGATGCGCGCGCGCGTGTGTGAATGTGTTTATATATTCGATAATTATATACTTTATTATTGCATTAAAGAAAAATATAGATTGAAATGGATAGAACAATAATTGAAATATTAGAACAAGCTGGTAGTCAAGATCCAACGACTCTTAAAATCGCTGAACAAATGCTTAGACAGTGGGAAACACAGTATGGATTTTATACAGCATTATTTGTAAGTTTTCTTCACAATTCATTATATTAAATAATTTCATAAAATGTTAAAATTTAATTCTATATACACAGTAGAAAACTTTTCTAAATAAAGTTAGTTTAATTTGTTATTACAGAAAGTTTTCTCGAACAATTCCTTTACTATCAATGTTAGATGGATAGCTGTGTTATACTTTAAAAATGGAGTTGATAGGTACTGGAGAAAACATGCCCCAGGGTAGATATTAGTATTACTTTGTATTATAAAAAAAAAATATTCATAGATTAATAAAATTTTACAAGTTTGATTGAATTTGTAGCGAAATAGCTTTAGATGAAAAAGAATTCCTACGCCAAGCATTAATAGCTAAATTCGATGAGCCAGTAAATCAATTAGCTATTCAAGTTGCAGTATTAATAGCTAAAATAGCTAGGTAATTGTGCAATTATAATCATAATATAGATATAATATTATGTAATAACTATATATATATATATATATATATATATATATATTATACACATATACTACATTATAGATTCGATTGTCCAAAAGAATGGAATTCATTAGTTCCAACACTTTTAGAAGTAATAAGAGGAAATAACTCACTTGCCCAACATCGAGCTTTATTAACTTTTCATCATGTAATAAAAGCCTTAGCTTCGAAAAGATTAATTGCTGATCGAAGAATTTTTCAAGAATTAACATTGAATATATTTAATTTTATCCTGGACATTTGGAATAATTACACAGAATCTTTTATTTTATTAATACTAAGTGGTGCAAATGACCATCCATTACAAGAGGCAATTCAAAAAGCATTGTTATCCTTAAAAATACTTGGAAAATTAATTATTCATGGATTTCCAAAACCTTCTGAAAATCAAAGAGCTATGCTTTTTTTGAAAATGATTTTTGATCGTATAAGAACTATTCTTGATTGTAGTAAGTAAAACATGTATAATAATCATAATCTATTAAATAATCGAATTTTATAAATGTGTAAATATTGTATGAGGTTTATTTTTCTATCATACATTTTTAAGATTTTATAATTTAAATATACGTGCTTACTACGTTTAATGTAATGTACATGTCAGTTAAGTGTTCTTAATCAAAATTAACTGGTGGGATTAAGATATATTTTCTTTTATTATTTCAAATATTTAAAAGTGAATAAAATATGAGATATTGAAATTATAAACAAAATTTATATATTTTTATTATAATTTTTCTCTGAAGTAATTTTATGTAAAACTATAAAAACTTCAAATTTTATACTTGGAAATTATGATAGCAAATACTTTAATTCATAATAATATTTTATTATTAAAATTTTGTTAGGTAAATAAAATGATTGCATACTAAAAAAAAAATTTTAATTTTACCAGTTTGCTTTCATATTGAAATTTCATGTATATATTATACAATTCTTTCACAAATTTAAGGTATGAAGAATATTTTATATCATATAAAAAAATTTTTTGCAGCCTTTTATTATTTATATATGTGTCAGATATTATATGCATTAACTTAAATTCATTATTAAGTGATCTATGATTTTATACATAATATTTTAATAAATATAAGAAAAGTTATGTATTTTATATTTTATTTATGTCAGTGAAATATTTTTGTAAAATTATTTATTAATAAAAATTACTCTAATCAACTATAGCTTTGCATTTATCAGATATTTGTAACTAAAATCAATCAAACATAATTATTATTTAAAATAATAATAATTTTTAATAATAAATAAATACATTTAATATTTCTCAAACTAAATAAAAAAATGCTCCCGATAATGAATAGATAACGGAAATGTACGCTTCCTAATTAGGCGTTTACATCTTATTCGCTTACATAAAATCGTTAAAATAATCTAATTTAGTAAATACCTTACTATTTTAATATTCGAATACTATAGTATTATAAAATAATGTTTTTTTTAACTTTATACTTTAAAAGTTAAAATAATAATTTTTTCTAGAATTAGTAATGAGCTTCTATTTTGTTTATTCTATTTTGAAATGAAAGTGAAACTGTGAAATTTTAAAATTTAAATTTGAATATGTTTTATACAGACGAAAAGCGGAATTTCATAGAAAACTTACAATTGTTAAATATTAAATCATCTTTTAAGTTTCGTTTTAAAATCTTTGAAAATTTATATTAAATCTGCTCTAAAGTTGTATATTATTAATTTTTACTGTTATTGTATTTTATTTAAAAAATTATTTTTAGCTATTTTTATCTGATATCTCACGGAAATTCATATAGATTTACAAAAATAGATATAAAATATCTTTCAAATCTCATACTAATGTTAATTTTTATACAAACATTTGCGTATTTTAATACTGTTGTACCGTACTGTTCTAAGTGTGACTGATAGTGTTTTAAATGTAATACGCGTAATCGATATATCTCTTTAAAATCGTATTAATTAATTAATATTTATTTATAAGTTTTAATGTACATTATCCTGTTTCAGGAAAAAATTTTATGTCGCGAGGTTTAGAAGTAGAAATATTTGACAAATTTATAATCCATTTAACCAAGATTTTGCAAGGTGTATTGGAGATCCATCCATTTTGTTACGTTGATTTGATTCCAACGACATTAGAATGTTCGGTTTTTTATTGTTTTACTGAAATAGGACAATCACTTGTGTTTGAGAGATTTATTATTCAATGTTTGAACTTATTTAAAGAAATTTTACAAACAAATGTATACAAACCTGCAAAGGTAATACAAGGTATGATATAAAAATAATAATTTATAACAAAAAAAAAAATATTTATACCTACTGTTTAATTAAATGTTATTCCTATAAATTATTTGAATGAATGTTGCTAAATTAAATATTTTATTTCATTTATTTAATATTTCCTTTTTCGTTTCTGGTTTTTAGTTAACTGTTTTAATAATGCAAGCTTGAAATAGGTCAGTATTTCTGTTTTAATTAATAATAATTTAATACATAGATCGATTATTAAGTCGAATATACATTTTGTTAAAAAAAGAAATCTTGTTAGAAAAATGAGTGAATCTATCGATCAAAATCTTTTTATTCTTATTAATGAAAAATCAATTCGTTATAAATAACACTATGTTGTTATAATGTCAGAGAATTGGAAATAAATAATTTATTACTATTCGAATATGTCAGATAAAAATTTCCATATAAATTATATAATTAATAATTGTAGTATATTAATATACTAAGATATATGTCTAAAAGAAAAAGTGATATATTTAGTTAATTACAGGATTAAATATATTAAAATTACTGAATGTATTATATAACTGTCTAAATTAAAACTTATAACTGTTAATGAATCTCAAAATTATAATATATTTTATTATTGTCTAAAATATTACAACTATCTTATATTTTAATACTATAACAAAATTATTTTTGTATAAAACATACTCATTCATAAATTGTAATGTTTTTCTTTTTATTTATTATAAAATTATATTAAGGTGCTATAAATTTTGCATAATTTCATAAATAATAAAGAAATAAGAAAGCTAATATAAAGAAATTGAATATACTCAAAAAAGGATAAAGTATAGGGAGTTAAATTTTACATATTTTAAGGGAAAATCTGAAGAAAAAAATTATATTTTTTTGAAGGATTTTGATAAAAAAAATTTTTATTTTGTCCAACATTCGTGTTTCAGTAAATAAAACATATAGGTTTTCTAGAGTATATAATACGGAATATTCAAAATATATTACAAGTAGAAACAACAATTCAACCAATATAAAATGATTTTCGATAATGCTTTATACAATAGTTGTACAAAATACACCAAGAATGTTGAAAAAAAAACGTAGTCTAAATACAATAAGAACGAACGCGTATATTATTGAAGATATAAAAAAGATATGACGTTTTATCTCAAAAGGCTTAATAGAAAATAGATACACTGCTATTTTTGTTTTTACTTAAATCTGGGCGCATCTATAAGTCTTTACTTATATCCTGTGTATATTTTGGAGATTTGAAACATTTACCATCAACCTTTACAGCGAATCAATATATATAATTTTATTATTTTAATCGTAAATAAAATATCGAAAAAAATTTAAACTCTTAAAACACTGCTCTCGTAATATATTCAATCTAATTCAATTTTTTTCGCATATTTTTTAATTAAAGAATAAGATCTATCTTTTAATTTTGAAAATCTTAAAACTATAAAATAATACTGAATTAAAATAGAAAATATTTTTTCAGTTGACTTAAATGTGTTCATGTTTCTTAACGTTGATTCTAATCCTTGATTATTTGAATAACGTAAATGTTTAAAGATTATTTTAAATTAATTTATTTTCTAATATTTTGTTACACAACTTTTTTACAGTTCAATATTTGAAACCAAACTTTTTATTTTTTTAAATTCTTAATTTTAATATCAAATTTAATACAAACCGTTAAGATTTTTTCCATAGCTCAACTAAATATATATTTTATGAATATTTCAATTCATTGTGAAATCGGTTTAATTGAAGTTTTTAAATTAATTCGAAGTAAATTATAAATCATGGATACTAACTAATTTACAGTCAACATCGCATATTTATCGAAATTTATCACAAACATCAATCAATTATATTTTACCTTATAACATTATGGTATAGTTATATTTTTATTTACTATCTTTAATGACATTAAGCAACATAAATAGTGAGAAAGATAGAAGTTCAAATTAGGTAAATCTAGTATATATTTTTTAAGATGTATTTATAAACATAAATGAAAGGGAATGATAATACGAAATTAACGAAAATAATATGTTGATAAAAGATTTTTCTTTTATTCTCGAAACCTTAATATAAAGTATAACATTTATTTACTTTTGTCTATGTTTATTGTATATTGAAATTATGAAAACAATATTTTTACATAATTTTACATTTAAGATTAAGTTTCCTCAACTACTAATTTAAAACTATTACTTTGTAAAAATATTTTATTTATATATTTTCTAATTTTTAATATTTCAAAAAGTTATTTTAGCTCTATTTTAAATAACTTTAATAAATTATGAATTTAAAATTGACAATATTTTATATTATTTACATTGAAGTGAATAAAACTTTATTTTCAAATAAAAAATTATTTAATAATATTAACATATAAAACAAATGCAAATTTTTACAGAAACAAAGAATTTACTTACGTTGAGAGCACATCAACTTAAACAAGAATTTTTCACCTTACAAATATTAAAGGAAATCTGTATACGATTAGTAACGCATTATTTTGTTTTAACATCTTCAGATCTAGAAATTTGGAATACTGATCCAGAAAATTTTGGTTTGTTTATTAAAGATTTTATTATTTGTAATTATGTAACCATTAATTTAATTTTTATTTCAAGGATTTGATGATTGCGGTGAATCATGGAAATATAGTTTACGGGTAATTATTTTATTTTTAAAGTCATTGATTTCTAAATACAATATAATTAATTTTTAGCCATGTACGGAGTCGGTATTTCTCGCACTTTTACATCAATTTAAGGATATTTTTTCTAATGTATTAGTTGAACTTATGCAAAAGCATTATCAACCAGTTCATCCCAATGATTTTCGTGGTATTTTGTTAAAAGATGCAGTATATAATGCTGTTGGATTAGCTGGATTTGATTTGTATGATGAAGTAAATTTTGATCAATGGTTTTCTACGACGTTAAAATTAGAATTAAATGATAAAAGTAATAATTATAGAATAATTCGTCGACGTGTCTGTTGGCTCATTGGTCGTTGGACGGGTGAGTAGTTTTTTAATATATAAAATATAATTCAATATATTTTAGTGTTTGAAAATAAATTTGATGTAATATGTGATATCAAAACATGCTTTCAAATCAGTCGTTTTCCTCTTTCCTTTCTTGTGCATCTTACTGTAAGAGTAACCATGCATGTGTGTGTAAAAAAAGAATTTTGTGATATACGTAATTGCTAATTATAATAATTTATAAAAGTAAAACTAAAAAGTAGTAATATTTATAGATCACTGAAAATATTAAAGAAAATCGAAAACTATTGTAAAGTTGTAAAAACCTACGTAATGATATGGATTAATATACAGAATAATTATACATTTAACAATTCTGAGTTATATTTTTATTATTTATTTATAAAATTGCATTCTACTTTTATACAAGATATATTTCATAACAAAACAAATACAATATATAGCATCGAACAGAATTATAAGTTTCTAGTATAAGTACTTGCAAATAATTAGGTTTTATATAGATAATAAGCATGTCTGCAATGTTATTGAAACATATGTAGATTTTTCATGCTCCAAACATGTAAAGCAATACTAGAGATTGTTTTAAAAAATTGTAGCGAAAGTATGTTGATTTTTACAATGGTCAATTAATAAAAGCAAAGTATCAATTTTTCGATACAATATTAAATTTAAACGTTGTAGAACATATATTTTAACTCGCAGTTCTGTTGTAAAACTATTCTAATATTAATCTAAATATGTTTCTTTCATTACTGAACACAGTTTTATTATTTTATTTTATTATTTAGATATAATTAAATTTACTATACAACCTTATCCCGATTCATTTACTATTCAGTTGATTGATGATATGTATTCATTAGTTAAATTATAAAGATTATAGCAGTATAGTAGTAATATCGTAATATAATATAAAAAATATTTAAGTAATTTATTTTAAGGTGTCAAGTTGTCTGCAGAATATAGACCAGAATTGTATAATTTAATGGCTCAAGCTTTACGTCCAGATGAAGATCTTGGTGTTCGATTAGCTGCCAGTGATGCATTAAAACTTGCAATCGATGATTTTCAATTTAACACAGATGATTTCATTCCATATTTAGAACGGATCTTTTCTCTATTATTTTGTCTTCTCAAAGAAGTTAATGAGTGTGATACAAAGGCATGTATCATATTTAAACAAAATTTATTCATAAACTAAAATTGATAGATTTTTATTCGGTTTTTAGATGAGAGTTTTATATGTTTTATCTTTTATGATTGAAAGAGTTGGAAATGGAATTAAACCACATATTTCATCGCTTAATGCATATTTACCAGAGTTATGGCAAGAATCAAAAAATCATAATATGTTAAGATGTGCTATTTTGTCTACTCTTGTTCATTTAGAAATAGCTCTTGGTTCAGATAGTATAATGTTACAACCTTTGGTCATTAAAGTTATAGAATTAAGTTGTGATATGAATCAAGAGGAATACATTTATTTATTAGAAGATGGTTTAGAATTATGGCAAGCGCTTTTGCAAAACACTCCTTACCAAACTCCTGCTATTATGGAACTTTTTAAGAAATTGCCGGCTCTATTAGGTTAGTTATTTAAAATAATTTTCAATTTTATATAATACATATAATGACATATTATTTAGTCAATATATAAACATATATATATATCCTAAATATAAAAAAAAGTATATAATTTCTCGGATACATCCATAGACTTTTAGATGTTTATGTTTTTGTATGGTTTATAAGTTAAATGAAATGGTATTCTTTAAAAAGTATTTGGACCATAGCATTTATCTTAAAAAATAATAAAATAAATATAACTTATATTCTCTTGATTTAAAAATTGACAAAAAATATATTACATTCTTTTTTTAATATTTAAGTTAATTTACTTTTTGATGATCAGTAGATATTCAAATTTTATTATCGTTTGTGAATATTCACGATTACAATAAATATATATAGAAACTCAATGGCTATTCCTCTCTTGTTTTGTAACTAAAATGTTTATTACCTAAAAATATTTTAATTATAAAACACTGACCGTTGCTGTTTTAAACAATTTAAGTTAATTATTATTTACTTCCTGCCATAATTAATATCAATACCCTAAATTAATTTCCTACATAATTTAAATATATTTTATTACTATTCTATACTTTACTATTAGTATATTCAATCTTTATTCAAATTATTTTTCAGTATAATATAAATTTCAAGTCATATTTTGACAGAATCAAAAGGCTGTATTTAATATATATTTTCTCCATCAAGTTTTGATCTAAATTTATCAAATAAAAATACTTATTACTTCCTAGTCTCTGATAATTTTCTCTATTTTTTTAATTAAATATATGAATTTTACGAATCAAGTGCATTTGTTAAAATATATTGAATTACGTAATTTTATTTATTATTATTCGATTAATATGTAATAATTTAAAATATAAATCAGTATTTACATATTATTAATTAAATAAAAATAATTTATTTTATATTTTAAGCAAATATGTAATGCTAAATTGAATGTGTTATACAATGCCTTGTTATATAAATGAAATTTGTTTATTCTATCTGCTTTAAATTAGAAATTTATTTCAACTTTGTAGATATAAAGTTAAAATTAGAATATTCGATTATATTTGAACTAATGATTTATTTTATATTAATATTACATCAAGGTATTTTATATAATAGAATCGTCGACAGAAAATTTAAAATTATGCGTATACATTACCGAAGCTTATGTTTTATTGAATCCCGAAGAACTTATGTGTGAAAGAGGATCTGGAATTGTAGAATCATTTAAATCCATAATAGGAGATCTTCGTTCTGACGGCATCATAATCGTTATGCAACTGTTAGAGTTATGTCTTATAACAGCTCCTCAAAGTGGATCACAATTTATCAAACCCTTACTTTTAAAAATATTCGAGTAAGTATGGTTTATCTCTTTAAATTAAATTTATGCAAGTTTTCATTAAAACATTCTTTAAAATGCAGCAGGAAGTATTATATTGAATGTCCATATACAATATATTTGTACATTGAATTTTAACATGCTGATTGAAATATGCCAATGCATTTATTTGAGTTATACATAATTTTTTTTAATTTTTTGTATTGTATTCTTACCATTTTTAATTTGCATTTTTCTTGTTAGTACTGACGTATGCTACTTTTAAATTGAATACTCTTTCAACTTTATAAAAATAATGTATCAATTTCAGTTTAAATAGATCTGTAAACATTAATAGTTGGCATTTATTCATTATAATTTTAAAAACTTTGTCTAGATAATTTTTATTTTTACTTTAAAACAAAAATCTGTAAATATGAAACAAAAAATTAATTATAATATAAAAAAAATATATGTAAAAATAAATGTAAAAATGTAAATATATACAAAAAAATATGTAAAATAAAATATAAGTATATAATAAAATCTTATACAATACTTTTAACAAGTGATAATTAGTTATCAAGATTCATAGAATTTTAAACAAATAAAAAGTTTTAATAGTTTACATTATGTTCGGAAGATTTCCAAATCTTTGGCAGCAGCATGATTTTCATAAATCTCTTGTTTCAATATTAACAAGAAACTACAAGGACTTTTAAAGTATGGTACACAAAAAGAAAAAATATTAATTTATCCAAACCTAACATACTTAATTGCGTCACCAAATTGTAAAAACTTTTTTGGAATGGTTATTGACTTTTTTTTATAGTTTTGTAATTGTGCAAAATAAATATTTTGATCTCACCATGAAAATACACGTACACATTGATGTTATTAGATTAGAATCATTTTACAGTACGTAACAATCACACTTGTTCAAATAAAAAATGACGATATTCCGATATGAAGATATAGAAGTTAAACTACTTTTAAAAAATTATCTCTTCTAATTCGTATTATTTTATATAAAGTATTCTATTTGGTTATTACATAAGATGATACATGATTATAATTACCTTAATCGTTACAATTTTATTTTACTATATTTTAATTAAGATTCGCTTATAATTTTCTGATGAACTTTGCTTTAAATTTAAAAAATAAATGACAATTCATAATATCAAGAGTAAAATTAAAATATATAAAATAAATAAACGGTAAAATTTTTAATTAATAAAAAATATACTAATAATTTATGTAATAATAATTATAAATAAATAAATAAAATAAATAATTATTAAATTAAACTAAAATTAATTATATAATAAAAATTTTATTTTTATTATATAATCACATACAATTTTAATTAGAAATTCAATTACAGTTGAGAAGCATATTTCATAAAAGTATTTGTTATTAATAGTAATAAATATAATATATAAATAAATATTAATATTCTGTAACTACAGTTCTTAAATAAATCAAATATAGTTTTTAATAATTTTAAAATATATTTTTAATTTATATATATTATTTAAATTATATAATTGATTATAAAATTTGTATCATATTACAATGATTTAGAACTTAAATAATAATTACATAGACTAAATTTTTGTTTTAACATAAAACCATTCGGTATTCAAATATGAGCATATATCATGTTTTATAGTAATTAAAATATACTCGTAGTTTGTTTATATAAAAATTATAAGCGTGCAAGCATTAACGCATTAATACTCAGTTAAAAAGTTATAATTTAAATATTTAAATAATAAATATATTGAGAAATCGTGATCTTATCGCATGAATTTTGTGTATTATTCATTTTTGTCTTCAATTTTTCTATGTTGCTCAATATGTATTCGACTTAAATAAATATATTATTTTTACAACGCTAAGAATTTTTTAAGATAATATAGATTATATTTCGACATATTATTTCTTTTCTTTAAATTGATATTTATACGTACTATTTCTCATCTTCACTGAAGATGAATTTAATTTTTTAGTCTTTAATCTAGATGTAATTATAATAGAATAGTAAAAAAAAAGTTGTAATTAATAATCAAGCTAGATTATATAAATAATATGTAATTGACATGGTGCAATGTGTACAATATAAATAAAAAAATGTAATAAATATTTTATACTATGTTACGTTCAATGATATTTTTCAATTTTAAATTGATTATACTTGATAATGTATTTATAATCATCTATTGATAAATTAGTTAATTAATATTATTACAAATTATTTTTATAAAAGTTAGTTAGAAATTTGCTACATTATATACAAAATATAAATATTTTAACATAGAACGAATAATTATTATGTGATATTGATAAATTTATATCATTGAAAATGTATACTTCTTAACTAATATTAAATGAAATGTAGCTTTTAATTATAATATTTAAATACGAGACTACGACTTTAAATCGATATACAATATATTGAACAGTAATTGAAAGTTAATCAATTTTAGGAGCGTTTATGAAGGTGATGAGTATCCAATGGTATGGACTGCGTATTTAACAATCGTTGCTCGTATACTATTAAATTCACGAGATATTTTTATTCAGGTATTTATTCTTGAAATTGTACTTAATGCGTCAACTTTATATTTAATATATAGTTCATTTTTAATTATGTAGATAATTAAAGAATTATCAAAGCGATTGGGTCAAGAATTTAAAGAAGATTTCGTTTTTGCTCAAGTAATTAATTCTTATATTGATCATATGCCCTTAGTTACACAACACAAAGAAAAAAAATTATTGGCTCTTGCATTGTGTTCACTTTTGGATGTTAACAGTCCTTCAGCAATTTTTAAAAAATTTCCTCAAATAATTCTGAATATTGTTGAAACACTAAATGATATAACCAAAATTAATGATATGGGTTGCTCTACCGAGTAAGAATAAAATTTTACAGCTTTTTTTATTTTTTAGATTTTATTAAATGCATGAAATTTTTTTACTTTTAACTTTTAAAGCTCATTGATGATTGACCACCATCACAGTCCATCTCAATTTGAAGATGTAGGATATGAAACAGAACATTCACTTCGAAAGAGAAGGGTAACTTTTAACGATCCAGTACATTGTATTGTTTTATCAGAACTACTTCAAAATCAAGTCAGTATAAAAATAATTTAACATAATTGTTTCTGATGTAAAATATTTACTATATTTTAGTTATCTGATCTACGAAAATTACTAGGAGATGAACAGTTTAAATTAATGATGCTAGAAATAAACCCGGATCTAGATCAACAACTTAAAGAATATATATCCATTTGAAAGATAAAAATATTTATAACATAATTATTACATGTAAAATATTTTAATTGAAAAAAACTTATACTAACATAATGTTATATAAATAATGATGGACTAAATGTATAATATTTATAATAATTTTGCTTTATTGCTTAGTTTCAAGATGCATCTACTTATTTTTTGGCATGAAATTCGATTTCTAGAGTGTTAAAAAAATCAGTTCTGAGTAAAATACTTTGATCAATGTAATCCAATCGAATTTAATAAAAAATTACTTTTTAAAATAACGAATGATTTTTACTATAATAATCTCATAGCAAATGAATACATTCTTTTCTTATAATCGCATTTACTTTGTTTAACAACTTAATTATCAACTCAGGTGAGTTTTTCCGATTTATAATAATAAATAAATTATAACCAAATAAATGTATTAGCTATTGTAACAGTAAGTTTATAATGTATTTAAATTCTATTTTTATAAAACATTTAAAATTTTAAAATAATAAAATCAAATTATAAAATGAATATTAATGGAATAATTTAATATCAAATTTTAATAATAAATTACTAATTAACATTTTTATGTAATTACTATATTTAAAATTAACCTAAAAGAATGAATATATTCAAAAAATTAACTTCTTCAATTTAATGAATTTCAAAAACTAGAGAAAATCGAGACAATGTAAATTCGTAGATCGATCTGTGAACTATATTGAATTGAAGTGATTATGTATTATAACTATATATTTAAAAAATATATACAAATGCATCTATTTGATATATTTACATATGAATTGATATAAATTATATGATTCGCAAATAATATAAGTAAAATGAAATAAAATCAATATATAAATGTTATAAATAATGTATTTAACTGTAACATTAATGAACCTTTCTTGAATTTATATATGCGTTTATATATATATTTATATATATGTTATAGAAAATATATATTCTATTCGTAAAATGATTTATTTGAAAAAACACGGAAGCCTATAAGCATTTTGAAACATTAATTCCCGGTAAATATGAAAACGATTAAAATATTTTATAACTAATTTATAAATAAACAAATAATTAAGATATAACATTCTCGTATTAAATATAATATTAAGATAAATAATACATGGAATAAATCTTCAATTAATATATACACTATTCAATAATTAGAACCACATTATAATATTACAATAAGTTACAATATTTTAATTTTGTTCTAATTATGAGAGAAATATTTTTTCATTGTTATGAAATAAAATCTGATTATATTAATTAAAAGGTCTTATTTATATAGACTAAGTAAATAATAAGTAAATAAATTTGAAAGGAATCAATGTTAGAAAAAAATGTTAAAACTATTAAAATCTTTAATTAAAACAGCGTCAACTTTGATTAGGATTGAAGTATGAAATACAATTAGAATTTTAAGTATAAACACTATTAAATATAACAAATTAAAAAATAATTTCATATTACATTAAATATGGTCATTTTATTATTTTTTTTTTTTTTTGTAAATGACAAGCAATATTATAATTAGTAATTGTAATATTGATATTATAATAGTAATTGGACATATTTTTAAATCTGATATTTGTCTGATATTTGTAAAATAAGTTATAAACCATTCTATAAATCCTTTTATTTCGCAGGGATCTATATGTATTTTAAATTGGTTTTCTTGCTTACATAGGTATTTTTTCAGTAGATTATAAAAGCTATTGTCTACCTGAATTGTAAGCTATAAAATAAATTAGTAGTAAAATTCCTGTACATTAAAAAATTTGGTTTTAACAGAAAATGTAATGGTGTACTTGAATTTTTTCTGTTAATATCAACTGATCACAATTTTTATTTTAAATACTTTATTTTGTTCCTTTTCTTTTATTGTCGTTAGTTTTACTAAAGGAGTTTACTTCAAACTTCATATATGCTTATAAATAAGTATTATCAAATAATTCTTTGACACATTTTATTCTTTATTTTGAATTTTAATTATTTCATACTATATATTCTCTACTAAAACAGTTTATATTTTAGTTTCATTAATGTTAATGTTTTATGTATGCTAATACTAAAGTTATCTTACCAGTTCATAAAAAATAAGTTTTTAAAATCATTTATCTAGGTCAAAATTTGGATAAATTTAATCCATGTGTACATGTTATAGATGATCGGATCGTTTCATAAACATGTTATATGCACTATTCATATATTTGCTTATAGATTTTTTAGTAAATCCTCCTACTGGAAATTTTAATTTATGTACATACTGTATACATACTATAATTTTTTTGCATTTACTTATTATTTTACTACATTTATACCTGTGAAACTGATCCTTCTCCATTTACATATGTTGCATTTTTTCTCTATTTTTATCTATCACTCAAATATATTCTTAAGAATCCTAATGTAATGTAATCCAGTAAGTGAAATTTATCTATAAATTCAGCTAAAATTCTGAACATCGTTTTGTATTCACTTAATAAAAATTTATTTCTACATTATTTGTGTGATCTAAAGGCACAATAGTAGTTTTCAATTGCTTCAAACACACAATTATAATTTTTCAAAATAACATCTTACCAAGATAATAGTAACATTATTATGAAGTGTTCATAATTGAAAATATTCAACTTATTAACTAGATTATTCAGTTATTTTCTTATGAAACACATTAAACTATTTACACTGAAATAGCAAAGAAAAATACTGATAAAAATACAATATTTCAATAAAATAGATAGAATACAGAATTATAAAACAAGATATTAAAATTATAATACAAGATACAAAGAACTAAAATTATAACAAACCATTGATAATAAGTGGTACATTAATACTTCCTCAATATTTTTGACAATAATGGAATATAATATTAAATATATAATGAATATTTTATAAAAATATAAATTAAATAATAAATTAATTATAATATATTATAGAATTTATAATTAATTTATAAATAAATAAACAAAGATTATTATGAAAATTTTAATTTTAAAATAACTATGCCACATTTAATTGTGATAAATGAACTTTTTGATAAAGCAAGCTTCACTAATTAACAAAAAGCTTAAAACTCAAAGTATCTTATTTATAATTAAATAGTAGAAAATTCCAAGCTTGTGGGTAATCAATTTAATTTCATAACTTTTATATTTTATATATATTATTTTCAAAACTATAATTTAGTATTATGAGCTTTATAATTATTGTTGTAGTTTACTAAAACAATCATCTATTTAATAAATAATTAAGAATATTAATAAGAAATATTAGGAAAAAAGTCTAAGTAATGAAGAATTATATTTATTTGTAAATCTACAAAATTTTGTTTTATCTTATAATACTGAATACATTAATACTAAATATAATTCAATAAATATCAAATAATGGAGATTTAGCAAAACAATCTTTTCTTTCTCCTTTTTTGTATTGAGAAATAAGCTCTTCTCGTACTTTAAACACACTTTTACGACTCTTCAAAGACCATAAACATTCATTTATATCAGTTATAAAATCTTCACATTCTTTCATCCCCTTATACATTCCATAAGCTTCTAGGCAATCTATCATACGTAATTCGAAATTTACACAATAATGTTTTTCTGTACCATAGCATGTAGCAGCTGTTGGATCAAAAACATTTACAATCACTTCATGAATAAAAGCAAAGAATGCCCTGAAAAACAAATTTTTTATTTTAATTAAATTATTTTTTAATGTTGTATAATAGTTAAATTAAAATAAGCTGACTCTTTTAAGAACTAAATATTTAAAAATAATATAATATAATATATGTATGTATATATTACACAGTATTTTTTACCATATCATAACAGGTATTTTTATAATATATGGATAATCTTTTATATTGCTATCTTTCCAAAATAATCTAAATTTACTGAAATTAAAACTTGGTCAATATCAATGCAAAAAATTTAATAATAAAGCACAATAGGACTACTTAATATTTGCCATTTTTTTATTACATAGATAATTAAAAAAATTAAATGAAATTAGATTTGATATTTAACTTTTACTTTTTATATTTATTATCAAAAATATCCGTTCAAAAATACTTAAAATAAATACAAGTTATATATAAAAGAAACGAATATATTTATATATTTATAATACTTTCCTTACAATTTATATCAAATACCTATACAGTCAAGTTCATTGATCGATTTGTTAATGTATATTATGTAAATATGATAAAAAAATAAAGAAATAAAATTTGCTTATGGTAAAAACTGTTTATTATTAATTATTTAGTCTATTTGATATAATTTCTCACTATTTTTTACAAAATTTATATCTTTTTATAATTATAATATATATATTTATATATAAAATAAGATTGAAAGTAATTACTTTAACTTTTTTATTAATTAATATACATATACAAAAAGTCACGTTTTGAAATACAAAAAAGGAAAATTAAAATTATTTGATATCGCAAAAAAAATCGATATTTATTTATTAAATTTTTATTCGAGTTACCTTATAAAATTTAAATATGGAATATTTCCAAATTATAAACTATAAAGAAAATTGAAAAATAGTGAAAATAAAAAATGTATTTCCAAATATATAAAATAGATAGAAATAAGCATTGGGTAATATTACTAATTTTCTCAGCTTATATATTTTAACGTATTTTATACTTTATAATTCTAATTTCTCTACTTTTTTATATGTAAGGCTATGTTATATAATATCTAATGTTTTGATACACTGTTAATTTTATTTTTATTCAGATTTATGTATAGGAACACTTTTATTTCATTTTTATATAAACTGTAAAAACTTACATTGTTAATAATTAATACGTTTTTGCGATTCAATAAAACGAAGATAAAAAATTTTTTTCCTAATGAATATTTCCAATTTCTCTTTCAAAATATATCTAACCGCTACTTAACCGTACCATAAAAGTAATGTTCCCATTTGAGGCATGCACAATTCATGTCAAAGCTTATTGGCTGATGAAGCATCCATAATCGCAATTGCAATTTTATACATTTATATTATTAATACAAAAAAATAAGTATCTCATTGTTTCTCTAAAAAAATTGTTCTTTCAATTAACAATATAAAATACTGTATTAAAAATCGATTTAATCAGAAAAAATAATACTTAATATATTAATATAATAATATTGCAAAATGTAAATAAATTGGTATATGAAACTATTTAATATATCTAATATTATTCTAACATTTAAATATAAATAGTACATTAATATACGTAATACACGTTTAAAAAAATGCAATTATATTTAATATTGGCATTTAAATTTTTTTAATTTAATCATTAATATTTTTATTTTTATAATTTTTAAATACAATTTTTCAAAAATTAAAAAACAAAAACTAATTTTTTGCTAACGATATTTATATGCATTAAATTTATGCACTTTCATTTTTACTCAATTCGATGATATATGAAATTGCCATTATTATAGGCGCAGGTGAAGTTATTAAAAAATATAAAATTATTATATCATATTTTTAATACCATTGCTTCACAAACAATATTTATGGACTTAAATATTTTATGCATTATATGTGTACTATTCATGTTTCAATGCATACATATTCAATGGAAATACGTATTACACTAAAAAAAATTATCACGAGATATTACAGGATATTTATTGAGAAATGCATTTATAAAGATAAAAAAAGTATATTTAATAACTCTTATAATTAGAATACAAAAACCTGAAGGAAACTTTCTGATATATTAAATAGTATATTTGGTATAATTGAACAAAAAATTAATTTGTTTATATTTGATTAATTACTATGCATTTCCAGATGCACATTGTACTAATTATTGTTTTAATTCTAATTATTTATTGGAGTACTAACTAATAAACTAATGACCATTTATTTTTTATAAAACTTTATTAAATTGTTAATGTTACCTTGAAAAACTATAAAAAATGTTATAATTTTTTAAATTACTATTAAAAAGAAAACATTAAGAAAGCGTTAAAAAAGAAAAGCGTGCTCATCTCAATATTAGGTTATACATTTCTGAAAGTGATGATAAAGTCGAACAAATATTCGTAGACTATGCTTTTTATTTTATCGAACATATTGTATTAACTATATATTTTAAAACTTGTAAGTGATTTGAAGAGAAAAAAAATTAGTACCAAATAGAGATAATAAATAAGAAACTATATTATATTTTACAGTCCGTAATAAATCATGTACATGAAAAATATACAAATATTAAAGAGTTGAAGATGTAAAAAAAACACTTTTAAAGAAAATTATAATAATCATATTATAATAATTTATTAATAATAAATTTTGTCTTTTCTAATTTTAATATTTTTTACTTCATATAATATTATGTTATGAGATAATAAGCAATAAAACAATCAGTGACCATGCTATTAATAAAAAGTCATAATACTTTCATAAGGTTCGAAAATACGAAGCTTAGTATAAGAATGAAAATATTCTTACCTATTTATGGCCAAGTAATTTTTTCTTTAATAATAAATACAATAAATGAAACTGTTGATTAGATTTTCACAAAAATTATTTATTATTTAGTAACAGTACATAATATTATTAGTGTTAACAATTTTTTAAATGTTAGAACATTACTGAATTTTTTTATTGCAGCATAAATATATTTTCTTTTATAGTTAATTTTTCTATTTTTTATAAAATGTTGTAATATTTTTATATTACAAAGTAAATTTGTTTAAAGCTTCCAGTCTTTTCTTATATGAAAAAATTTTACTAATCAAATATAAAAAATATTTTTATTATATGTAGAGGTAGTACATTTATTTTAAAAGTTTTTATATTTTTTATACTTTGAATTTTTATAGGTACCGTGTTCTAAATAAATGAATAAATAAAAGATTTAAAGAAACATACATTTATAAAATTTATTATTAATAGAAATTTATTTTGAAATTATTGAGTGGAATTAAATGTATGTGCAGGGGAGGCAGTATACTTGTGTCAATAAATAAAAATAGGTATATTAACTGGTATTAGCTACATCATATTTTAAAAAGTAGTAATTCCTATATAAAGAGGAATTAGTTTATAATAGATTACTTAACAACTCGAATTATCTCAGTTTGTCTATAGTTTATAATTAGTATTTTTCCTTATTTATATATAGTATTAAATTTTATATAACAGCTGTGATATTAATAATTTTCGTTAATATATATTAAAAAATTATGTTTTTATGATTAATAACATATTATATATATGTTATAAGTATATTTTTGAAATTTTTAATATTTTAAATATATGTTAAAATGAAAGAGTTTAGATTTTTATATCATTGTCAAATCAAATCAAATTTTTGTACACAATTTTTAAAAAAACAATCACGTATATTAAACCACTTTATAAATAAATTTTTATAAGAATATGATAGAATAAGAAAATAAGAATGCTATAATATTATTATTAATATTTTTAGCATTCTTAAATGTTTTTTTATATTTATTTTTAATAAATTTATATATGGATTTCAATTACACGTTTTACGCACTGTCCCCTGTTCTAATATATACTCGCTTTTTTCCTATTTACTGATGTACTCTTTCTCTTTGACGTTTAAACGTAAACAGTGATCTGTATAATTACTTATTATACCTAATCTTATTGTTCAACTAATTATATATTATATAAATAGCTATAGTTATTAAAATTTTAGTCAACGTTTATAGATATATACACATGTATTTATGTATAAGAAACACGTAATATATATATATATTTATATATATAATTTTTATGTTTACTTATTTTTAAATTGCACCGAAGTTTTTATTATCTTATTTTCAAAAGTAACACCATATTCAACAAAATAAAAGACAAATAATTTTAGAAATGTTAATTAAATCTTCTTTCTAAATGACAACATTTTCAAATATTTGTCTTTACAAAATTTTAAATAATATTTTCATTTTATTACAATATAAAATATATTCACAAAAAAATGTTCACAATATAAAATATATTTAAAATACTTCGCTATTTTAATTCTTGAAAATTTATAAATAAAGAGGATTATACTTAATTTATAATGTTTAGAAATCTATATTAAACTACATAATGATTTTTAAAAATTAAATTGCTGTTTCACAGTCGAGTTAAAACGTTTTAATATATTAATTATAAATCGAAATTATTTTTTTAATATTTTTTTTAATTTTGTAAAGAAAATCTTAAAAATTCACCACCTCGTAACGACTTATGAACAGTATAAAAAATGCATTATATTTAAAATGTTATAAAGTTTTTTTTTTACCAATGTATTAAAAATTATTTTAAAAAGTATTTTATGTCATTTACAATCACTTTTAGAAAACTTCTATGAAATTGAATAAATTATATAAAAGTAATTAATTTTTTAAACAGATATTAAAATTTAGAATATTTAGAATATTTTTTAATGAATTTTAAAATATCTTGAAATTAATTATTGTGATTATCATTAAAATATTTAAAAGGATTTCGTAGGTAAATCTTATAATATGATTAAGATAGATTAAATTAAAATTTTTTGTATAGAATATACACTGCATATCAATTTTATTATAACAAACAAATTTAGAATAGTTTATGCTTTAATTTTATTTAATACTTAAATGAATCCATATGACATAATATATATAAACATAAATAGAACATGTGTAAGAATACGTATTGTTAAAGTGTACACTTTGTCGGAACATTTCTGATCGCAAAGAAGGCAATGGATGTATGGCGCGGAATATGATGATTTTGAAAAGGTCGGATGGACCACCTCTGATTACCTTACATGGTAAAGCTTGCCAAATATGGCAGGGCCTACTTCTAAATATGGCAACCACAGAAAGCTTCCGCACGGCCGGTCATGTGACTACGCTTCAAGAACATTTGAAGTTTAATATTCATTTAAATTAAGTTATAATTATTTATGCAAAATAATATAAAATAAAAATTTAAAACTTCATTTATGAATAAAAAAATATTTATTTTTTTTTGTTCGTTTAGGCAAATGAAAATGATCGGACTACATTATGAAGGCGTATTAATATATGGTGGGGATTACAAGATTGCTAAGCGGTTATACGGCGTAACAGTGGCTAAGTAGGCACACAACAAATGCAATAGTGCAGGTGCAAGTTTAATGTAACTGTGTGTAGGTCAAGTTACGGAGTTATTAAAAGTGGTAGTAGGGATTCAGTGTAAATGTGGTCTTGAGGCATACTGATCAAGAGTAGCTGTTTCAATCGACTATATTGCTTTAGTTCGCGGGAAGCGCTCTAATAGTGTGTATCTTTGTTTGTTGTCCTTTTGTGTTATCAAAAACACGTGGATAATAGTTTAACGCACAAAATAATTAAATAAATTCTCAAATTTTGATAAAAATATTGAACAAAAAGTTGCTTTAATAAAAGAAGTTGGAATTTACCACTTCTAAAACAAATAAAAAAAAAAATAATTTTTTAGAAGTTTAAAGGCCTAGAGCCGTAATAATAAAAATCAATGTGCCGGTAAGCGTGATGGACCAATCTAGTGGTACAAGAGACGCTCGCTATGCGAACCTTAATTATTCTATAGGCATGATGGGTAGTGATGCTGTTACTGAAATTTATGGTCGACCATCTACTTCTCAATTGCAAACGCGTACTAACAGTGCTTGTAGTGCAGTTACTGGTTCTACTTCTGATACTGCAGGATCTACTATTTCTGGTAGTGTAAATATGATATCTCAATCAAATGCTGTTGATAATTCATCTATCAGTATACAACGTAGTTTGAAACGAACGTCAACTGATGTCTGTTATGATGATAATACAAATGAAACCCGACAAGTAATGTCTCAAACTCAAACCTTAATCTCTGATAATACAGATGAATCTTATACAAATCTGGGACCACCAAAAAAATCTCCACCATCCAATGGTAAGAAAACCAAAGGCAGAGTCAAGATTAAAATGGAATATATTGATAATAAGCTGAGAAGATATACAACTTTCTCAAAAAGGAAGACCGGTATTATGAAGAAGGTGCAATAACATTTTATTAAAGATACCTGAATACTGTTAATTAAATATAATTTTGATTTTACTATAGTAATATTATGATTTTATAATGCTTATAGTTTTTATTGTTATCAAGTTTAAATTTTATTTATATAATTTCTATAAAGTTAATAATACATTGAATATTTAAAATAATTTTAATTTGATATTATATACATAATTTCTTTACCAATAATATTCTTAAAATGAAATATATTAAATCGGCTGATATTTAGGAATATATGACAAATTAGCTCGTATTTAATAAATGTATATAAATTACTTATTTTTTTTTATACATTTATTAACGATTGATTTTATTATATTATTATTTAATATTTATATTGGGAAATAAGAAATACTAAATTTAATCTTACTTTTTTTAATATATAATTTATTGGTATTTGAAATTATCAATTTTTCTTCAATTCCATTAAATTTATTTGAAGCATAAATAAATTTTTAAATGTACTACTAATTTTATATAAAAATTATAAAATTTACTTAAATAAAACAATGTTTATATAACTTAATCTTATAAAAAAAAGTTATTTATGCAATATCTCATTTTATTAAGTTTTAAAAAGTATCATTAGATTGTTTGTTTACATTATATACAAATTATTTCTATATTAAAATTATTTTATTGTATTATAGAAAATGATTTACAGAATTTTATTTTTAATTTCTCAATCAGTTTACGATAAATGAAAGATGTAATTAATATTGAATAAAAATGATTAGTATATTTAAAAATTGATTGAATTAAAAATTAGCCTTTGTATGTTTTTTGATAAATTTTAAAAATAATATCTTTAAAATTAAAATTAATATTATTGAATAGTTATTAAATGAAGTGTCACAGTTTCAATTTATTATAAACTATATCTAAAATACCTGTTAGAAAATTTTTAAGCACTTTATGAGTTTTTAATTAATATTGTTAATATTATTTAAAATATTAAATAAAAATTAAATTAATTCAAGAACTATAGATGATTATTTACTTTAACATAACATTTTGTATAAATAAATATTAGGCTTTAAAAATCTAATATAAATAATTATCCTTCAAAAATATTTAAAAAAAAAATATAAATATAAAAATATAAATATAAAAATGAATGTAGCCTTGCATTTAAAATTTTTTTTTTATGATAAGTGATTTATAAAAATTTAAGTTATATCTTTCAGAAATTTTAATATTTTAATTATTTTTAATAATTTTTAATTATTTTTAATAATAATAAATAAACATTATTGAAATTACAGGATTTAAGAATATAACAATCTTAAATTAATATAAATTTTGATAAGGTGTGATTTTCAAATAAAAATATAATATTTTGATTATTTTTTATTATATATATATATATATATATATACTTTTAATTAAATAGATAAATTAGAACTATTAATAAACTACATTTCATGGTTAAGCTGATTTAATAAATAAATTTAAAAAATATTTAATTATAATCCATTATTTATAATGTTTGTTAAATGTGAATCAGCGTATTTCCTATTGAGTAATTTTCATACATTTAATATATCTTTCATATAAATTTATATTTATTTTATTAGAAAAAATTATTATGTATCTACTTTTACAAGAGGTAAGTAAAAATTAGTTTGACTTAAAGAACAGAAGGACTATATTAATTAAGGTTCTTGTAATTTATTCATCACTTGTTAATTATTTGAAATTTATAATTAAGATGAATAATTTTAATTATTTGTTACTTTTAAAATAATATATTTATGCATATTTCAAATATATGGTTTAATTTAAACTTTTATTCTAACAATAATAATATAATAATTATTATAGATCACATCAATTTCAAATATGATTTTTGACAATTGCCATTGAAGTACTACTTGATAATAAATAATATACTTACTGTCTGATTATATTTTTTAAGTTTCATTCATTTTTAAGAAAATGACTACATTATTAAAAAAATTGATAGTTTTATAAAGACAAAAATATAATTTAAACTTATTAAGCATACATTCATAAGTTTGATGAAATTATAACAATTTCAAAGTTAATAAATAATTAATTAAATATATCTGGTATTAAGTAAATCTGAAATTATTAAAATAATATATTAGCAAAGTCAATTAAATAATTAATGTGTTGTCCTAAATATTTAAACATAATTCTATATAATATAACAAGAAATTTGCAAAATATATTCCAATAAAACATTCAAAATATAATTTTGAATTGTGTTACTCAACATTTAATGCTATACACGATGACAATTTCATAATTTAATTTTAATTATATGTTTGAAGAAACTGTATATTAGAAATAGCACTTAAACAAAATAATATGTATGTAATAAATAAAATCTTCTAGATATTATGAATTATTCTAACCACTTATATTTATGTTATATATATATATTTTATTCAGTATAAACTGTATAAACAAATTCATAATTTGTAAGTTATAAAGCACTGTAATAATAAAAAATGAATATATCATTTGTATTTAGACCTATAACAATATTGTTTATTTGCATAAAAATTATTTTTTTTAATAAATATTGAATACATTGAAAAATTGTTTTAAATTGTTGACGAATAAATAATTATTCACAATTACATTATTTGAGTGAAATAAAAATTCAAAGTGTGTAAGCTTAATTTTAATAGTGGAACATTGAAGATGTACTAAAATATTATATTCAACAATATAATTGAGATGAACATATACAACTTTTAAAATTAAAAATACAAGTTATTTAACTTTTTATAAAACGATTTATAGGTAGTTTCTATTGTGTAATTACAATCAATTATTGCATGTATTACACATTTAAATATTCTTTATACTATTTTATATATATTTAGCATCATACCAAATTCTAAACTTTTTACTTCTTATTCTTTTTTACTTTATAAAAATGTGATTCCATTTAATTTTTACTTAATTTTATTAAATTTATTTTTATTATTCTATAATTCTGATACAATATAAACTTATCTATTTCATTTATATAATGTCAAATCACATATAAAAAAGTGACAATAATATATTTCCTTTATATTAATTATTAATATTATACAAATATATAATTTATATAAAAACATTATTTATATTTAATTAAATATAACTATTACAATTGATTATTTTTAACTATAAATAATATTAAGATTTGAGTAGGAAACGTAAAATATAAATAGAAAAGTAACTTAAAAGAAAAATAAAAGTGATGTGACAAAGAAAAGTAAATAAATATCGTATATAAAAATACTGTATTTATTAAAATTGAAAATTTTTGAAAGTTAATACATTGTTTGACTTGTGTGTTTTTATATTTTATTATTTTATTTAATCAAAGTAAATTGATACTGTATATACATGATTAAATTAAAAGTATTTAATTCTGGATTTGGTTGTTGGTATTCAATATTGAGCATTTTCAGTATCACTCCACTTGAAACTAAATCCAGAATTGTCATTATTGTTAAATATTTGTTTAATAAGTTACAAATAACTTTAAAATCATGAAAACATTATATTTTATTTATAATTATTATAAATTCTAATAGAAACTTGCTTTCCTTAACTGTGCCCCAAAAAATTAATGAATATTGAGTAAATAAAATAATTGATAAATAACAAAAAATGTCAAAGTGTATAAATAATATATGTAGTTACAATAATGAAAAACGTTAACAAATTTTATAAAATTATCTAGCACGCAAAATCTCTACTTAATAAATATAAATATTTGTATAAATGTATTCAGAAGATTTATTTGTACAGCAAAGTACTTAAATAGATTAAAGAATAGCTTTTCAGAATAATATTTGTATTTAAGCAATATATCAAAGTTTAAATTAAAAGATATAAAGTCACTACTTTACTCAATATATTTTTTGTTTAATTTGGTGCTACTTATTTTTGTATTTCAATAAAAATTAATATGGTTTCAAATATTTGGACATGACTTAATGTCAATAATTAATTGACATAATTGATACATGATCTATATTAAAGCTAATTTACATTCATTAATAAATACCAACAAAGCTGTCGGTATTTTTAGATTAATTTTTTTATGTATATTTTTTATGGCGCAATTGAATGTTTACAAAGAAATTAGAATGCATTTGATTATCGATTTCTGTTGTGATTTTTTTCTCAATTCAATTTAAAAATACGCTAGTCATTGTAATACGTAACTTTCTCTACATAATTATAACTTACTAATAGCCAAAGTTTTATAAAATTTATTATAACAATTTTTAAAAATTATATAAATCTATGGATTATTTTTTTTATAGTGATAACTCTAGAAGTCTATCCAATAATATATGAAGAAAAATTCTGATAATTACTGACGTGTATTCAAGAAACATTTTATGTATATAAATTAATTTTATAATAAAATGAAATAAACATACTACTATTCAGTGTTTATATTTAGATATATAATCGGAACTCATTATTTGAATAAAAGTGAATGTAGATGCGTACGGAGGCGTATATATACATATCGTATAAAATTTTATATTAGTATTTTTAAACAAATATTTAATTAGATTTAGAAATAATTTATCTTTTGTCGTGAATATCATTTTGTTCAATTTATACCCAAATTGGAATATAATTATTAATTAAAATATTTTATTTTATTTTTTTCTATATTAATCAACTTAGTATAAAATACTTCAAAAGATAAATGGAAAAAACACCGTACTTATCCAATATATTATTTACTATATGTTATAAAATGTTTCATATTTAAATGATATTCGAACAACAAATAAAGTTATTATTTCCTTGGAGACACATCGTGAATCGTAGTATTTGTATAGTGTAGTTCCATTAATCAACTGTAGAATATTGTTATAGGACCCAGATAGTCCCAGACATACTGACTTTTGTACCAAAAGCAAAAAATCGGACAGCTATTTAATGAAAACGTCTGAGCTTGAAAACACTTCACTGTTTATTATGAAGTAAGTAAACGTAAATTTTTATATTAAATTATGTTGTAACGTAATCCTTTCGCACTTTAGATATGATGTGCATTTGTTCCCCTATATATCTTTTTAGTCTAGATTATAGGTAAAACTTTTCTTCGCGAGAAAAATTCTATTTCAAAAATAAATAAGGTATCAGTATTCATCAGTGAAATAAATAAAATTATATATACGTAATATAATAATCATATATTATTTAAAATATTAATAACATAAAATCAAATAATTCGAATTTATCAGTTAATCAATTAATTGAATAGTAAAAATAAAGAAAGCCAAATAATAAATATCATCATAACTAAATATCTTATTATAAAATCAAGATAAGTTAATTTCATTAACGAAATAATAAATTACAAATAAATTACATTTTTCAAATTATGTGAAGTGAATTTTTAAAAGAATTTTTCAATAAACTAAAGTAAAATTTGAATAAATATCTTAATTATCGCAGTATGTAAACTAATGAAAAAAAATCTACAATCGAATATGTTCACCACTTAAAATCCTGATTCTATTTTTTATTGTATATTATCACTCGAAAGAAAATTTATTGTACCGCATCTTAGAAAATACTACTGATTTTGTGAAGAACGCATTTGATATATTGGGATACATTTATATTAAAAAAATTTGTAATTTAATTTAATACAATTTTAATATTAAAATATAAGTAATTTTATTACAATATATTTTAATATATATATACATTAACATTAGAGTCGAAATTTAACTTACTGCTTGAGTTGTAACAGATTTTCTTATATTACGTGCATTTGTTATTTACTTAATATTAAATTTATATATATATATATATATATATATATATATATATATATATAAATAAAAAAAAAAAAATTCATCTAAGGCATGATTTAAAAATTTTCATATCTATTTGAAATTTTGAATATATCTTAAACATGTATAATAATGTTAATATGATAGAATTGTTTAAATTTTCTAAAAAAAAAGTTTGATATTTTTAATATTTAAAAGATTCGTTCGATCTCCCTTAGACATAAATACAAATTTTAACCAAATTGGAATGAAAAATGCTTATGAATTGGAAGGTTATTTAAAAGCACCGGTTAATCTAATATACCAATAAGATTTAATGTAATAATATGTCAATAATGCATTAAATTATTATTCAAAAACATATTTATTTTTATGATAATTTAGACTTTTATAATATATTGATTACTGAACTAAGATAAATTATATTATATCAACAATTGACTTTTGATTTGTTAAATGAAATTGATTTTTATAGTTGATATTAATACCAATTACAAGCGAGCCAACCGATGATTGCTAGCTATCAAATAAAAGAACAATCTGCACAGGTATATATTTTTGCCGTTGAAGAATAGTGAACCTTTTATAAATAATATGTGTATCTGTTTTTTTATCATAAGAATTGTCGTATACATTAGTTTTATTCATTTGAAGTATTCTGTATAATTGAAAATAATATTTTTTAGAATAATTACAGAATAATTAGTGATTACAAAGAATAATCAGAGTTTATTTCTAGAATTTGAACCATAAATTCATGAATCTAACAATAATATTTATTGTCTATTTATTTCAAGAGATTAAAATTTATTTGTTATTTTAAATGATAATTATTATTCTTAAATTTCGGAGCAATTTTAAAAATTTGAAAAAAGTACTATTTCAAATTTTTATTAAAATAAAAGAACTTGTCGCCATGTTCAAATTAATTCTTTTTTATTGTAATGAAATATACTAATTTTATATAAAAAAAAAATTTTAGGAATCCTAGGTCACGTTTAATAAGTTTACTATATTACTTTTTAAAAAACTAAAATTAGTTTCAATATAATTAATTATTGACCAAAAAAAAACAATTGTTTCTTAATTGAATATTGATGTATCGTAACAATTTTTACGAAAAACGAAATAATCAGTATGACTAATTTAAAACTAAACTTCAGAATGATGGACCAATGCAGTTGACAAGCAATATAAAAATAAGGTGTTATAAATTAAAAAGTAAAATATTTGATTATTCTGAAAAAAGGAGGAACTTCAATAGACCATAATTCAAAACGTCTTTAGGAATTAAAGGGACAATCAATTAACGTATATATAAAATGTATATTTGAAAAGATTAGATTCCAATTAATTGTAGTAATGAATAGTGATATTCATAAAAATAAAATTAGAGTATTAAAAAAATAATGAAATTACGTAATTAAGATTTAAATATTTGTTTTTATCATTTTTATTTAAAAATCCAGAATCCTTTTTTATCTAATACAAAATTTACATATTACAGACTTTATACAATAAACAAAATAATATGATATTAACGTTAAAAGTTTGATAGAATGATTTATTATATGATATGATTATTTACCGATAATGTAAGTTGTTATTTATAGTGTGCTGAAAATTAAAATTAAATATAAAATATTGTGTCAAGTTGGTTAATATATAATTATACTTCTTTATTGTTTAAATTAAAAAAATTATATAATATAAATTGTCTGTGGATGAAATTATTTATTTTCAAATTTTTTAATCATTTCTTAAGTGATTATATTATTGTTTTAATTCTTGTAAAAAATGCATTATATTAAATTTATATTTTTACAGGCATATGAATTATCAACCTTAACAGGTACGCAAGTAATGCTATTGGTAGCTAGTGAAACAGGGCATGTATATACCTTTGCAACACGTAAACTACAACCAATGATTACTAGTGAAGCTGGAAAAGCGCTTATTCAAACGTGTTTAAATAGTCCAGATCCTCCACCATCGGGATCATCGGGAGATCAGCGTATGTCAGCAACTGGTTTTGAGGAAACTGAATTGACCTACAACATTACAGAGGACGAGCAGAAAGTAAGACAGCTGGTGTATGGCTCACCTCACGGAGGTGGTCTGCACGTTGGCTATTCAAGTACTGGTGGTCCGCAAAATACTCAGCACGCTCCATCTTCACATGCTCAACATACGCATCTTATAGCGCATGCGCATGCGGCACCACCAAATTCGCATTTAGTACCTTGCTCAAGTCCAAGTCCAATGCTTGCTGGTAGTCCTTATGTCCAATCCTGTCCTTCGCCGCTTCCTCCTCCACATGCATCTTACCATCCTCACATGACTCATTCTCATAATCAACGGTAGTAAAAATGTTTTTGCGGTGTTATTGATTTTATTATTATAGTATTTATAGTATGTAAGAGTGAATACATTTTTTATCACTAACGTGCAATATTTACTTCCTATTAAGGCCAAAAATAAATATTAGATGATTTTTCATTGAAAGGCCTTTTTGTAATTATTAATTGTTAAATTATATGTGTAAGCCTAATAATTCTCACATTAGAAACTATTAGTAGCATTTAATTTTGCTTACAAAATTGATTCGTACTTAAATATATTTGTAGAATGCAATTTACTACATTACAGGCGTAACATTATATTGTAAAGCAAATAAATCGGTGTTATGAGCTATATACTGTTATAAACATAATAGTAATCTAATAGTACAATATTAAGTTGTTACAACTAGATGTTATTTGAATTATATTATTTATAGAAATATTTTATTGTTGTAACATCCTATATTTAAAAAGTGTTTCTATTTGAATTATTTTTTGAAGAATTGCACCTATTTTTAATATTTCTGTAAATTATTATTAATGTATTATTAGATAAAACGAATTTATTTAAAAACAAACTTTTCTACCATTGTGGTTTATAATAAAAAATACATGTTTACCAAAATTATTAAATATTTTGTTCTTTTAATTTAAAAATTTACAACTTTTTATCATTACTTATTTTAAATATATTACAAGTAAATGTATATATAATAAAATGAATTTTTACTCAATATTTAATCAATTATTTTTAATAAATAGTAAATTTTAACATTATTTTTCTGGATAGCTATGCAATATTGTTAATGATCAATTAATTTTTTATTACAAGACATTGAGTAATCTTGTACTGTATTCAAACATAAAAATTCATTTAAACAATAAACTTAATAAATAATATAAACAGTGTTTTTTTATTAATCATTAATAAATAATAGCGACAAATTAATGAATAAAATAAAAATAATGAAAAGTAGACATAAATATACAGAGAAAAATAACCAAAGAATTATAAATAAATACCTTGTATTGGCTTACATATGCATAGCCAATTATAAAGGCAAAAGTATAAAATTTCAGGTATTCTTATTCATAATAAAATTATTGATATGTAAGTCAATGCAGTAATCAATTAAAATTAATTTATATAAAATATAGCTAGTGAAGAGCTCATTTTAGTTTATTTTTACATAAACATTGAAGACCATATATGATAGGATCGATATTCCTATGATATCAATTTTGAATTGAAGTATTTATCTAGCTGAGTTAAATTATATAATTTATCTCAAGCTGTTAAGATCGATTATTTACTTAAATATTAATTTTTTTAATACACTAAATTTCCTAATAGTTTGTTAAACTACAAGATATCCATATCAAATAACCAAATAATTGTACTCAATTAGCATGTATCATATAAATTATAAGAACAATTTATATAACTTAATATCAATAGCATATAAATCTCAACAGTTAAAAAAAAAAATATTTATTTTAAATTATAAAATTGCTTTTTATTGAATACAGATACGATTAAACGCGAAATACCTAAAATTCTTTTTTATCGAAAGAATTTTCAAGATTCCAACTATTACGGCATAAAATTTTTTCTCACTGTCGTTAATAATACGACCAATGTCAGTAATATATTCATAACCCATAATTTGAAATACTTTTCTAACCATTTCTATAAAAAATACTGAAATTAATTTTATTGATTCGATTTTATTTATGATTGATTAATTTAAAAGACAGTACGACTGTGGAGTAGTCGATTTCGATGTATTACATAAAAATTTAACTGATTTTTGGAATTTAAATAACGATTTAATTATCATTATAAGTTCCGGGATAAAGTATCATAAGAATCAATAAGATATTTTTGCAAAATATTAAAAATGTATACTTAATTAAAGTAATATTTGTTTCTATATCTATGAAATATTCTAATAATTTATCAATAAAATTATATATTCTCGATATAAAGTTGAAAACAATTTTATTTTATAATTAGGATATATAGGAAAAATTTTATAATTAGGAAACAGGAAAAATTTTCAAATTTATATGAAAATTATTATGGAATGCAAAGTAAGCGTGGATAAGAATGCGTTTTTATAATAATAAAACTTAAATCGGGTATTAGATTCTGAGAGTAAATAAAAGAAAAAATAAAATAATATTTTTGTATTCTTAATATATATATATATATATATATATATATATATATATATATGTAGAAAGATGATATTACAAGTAAGAATAATAGTATCAGTTAACGGCACTATCTACAGAAGCAAATATAACATGTTATTGGAACATACGAATATCAATAATTATATTATCTAATATTTACTTCATTATATAATTATGCATTTAACTTAAGTTTTATCTTTTTGTTGATTTATATTATTTAATTAAAAATATAATTATTATCAAATACGATCACTGACTAGATAAATAAGAGTAAAGTAGAATTTTTTAAATCCTGTGTAAAAATTGAATTTTATAAATTAATTTTTTTTTATATGAAAATGCAATTCTTATTTTGAACACATTAACATATAAAATATCGTTCATCTTTCGTAAAACTAATTAATGTATTCGTTATAACTTAAATCAATAAAAAAAAATTTAAAAACCATAATTCGTAATAAAATAAGACAATTTTTAGGTACAAGAACTTATTAAACGCAAAAACAAATTCGAATAAGGAAAGTGGTTATTTTTTTTAAACAGATCATAAAATTTGTTTATGATCCGTTGATGACTATACTTGTAAGTTCACTTACATAAATATAATAAACGAAGAAAGTGAAAGAGAGATATGTAAATAAATTTATAGATAAAGTTAACAATTTAAAATATATTGGTTTCCTAATGTAGACTGTTCTTTTATTAGTTTCTTAATTATGAAGCTCTAAAATAAGTTCGAAATCGTAAGAAATCAAAATAAATAATAACCAAGTCATATCATTATTAAGAACTATACTTGAAAGCTTCTTGCGCGCAATCAACAGATGTCATCTTCAATCCTGAATACTAAAAATGAATGACCTAATTTTTATTATAGTTCAATAATTTATTATTTTTGTTCACTTAGCATATTTCTCTCTCTCTCTCTCTCTCTCATTATATAAGAAACTTTATATAATACATCATTTATGGAATATTATTGATAATCCATGGTATTTTAGAGTTACTACATTTCTATATGATAGATTAAAAGAATGAATAAATAAAAATTCTTATGCTATATGAAAATTGTATTATCTTTATGCATTTTATAAGAATGTAAATTGATCGTAAATTGAATTGTAAATCGACGCAGCATTGACTATCTTAAGTTTTGACCTTGAAAATAACTTAAATTTCATAAGTGTTTATGCGGGTGTGAACTTGCTTACTGATACAAAAAAAATAAACAACTCTGTTCATAAATCTTATTTGTTAATACAATTGTTAAAATGGGAACCAATTTCTAATATATATTTATATATATATATAAATACCGGTAAAAATGTATACATATATATGTAATATGATATACGATTTTGTTAAAACAAACTTTAAAAATAAATAAATTTTACAATACAGCTGAAAGATGCTGATTTCATTAAAGATTTGAAGTTGGTAGAACTATCAGTATAATATTATAATAATATTATATATATTCAATGAAAAACAAATTACTTTAAATAATGAAAACAATGCTTCAAGAAAATAAAATGTTAAATTGCTTTCATAAATATAAAATACATTTTTATTTATGTTGTTTGGATACTGTTGTTTGAAATTAGTAAATTTGAACAAGAGAAGTAAAAAATCGTTTACTACAATACATATTCTACATATATTAATTTAAAGCATTCAAGTGTTTAAGCTTCTTGTTATTTTAAATACTCAGCATATGTTATTATTTATATAAATTATAACAATATTCACAAATCTCCTTTCACATTATGACCAATAATTATAATTTATAAATGTCTCATATTTTTTTAAACAACATTTTAAATAATATTTTAAATAACAATTTATAATAAATTTAATGTTATATTTTATCTTTTTTTGCAACTTATTACTTTATAAATTAATTTTTAGAATTGTGCATTAACAAATTATTTATAAATTAGTAATATATAAAAAAATTATAATATCACTTTTTATTTTAATTTTATTTATTAATTGGTATCCACAAAAATGTTACTCTGCTGTCATGAATATTAAATCATTTATTTTCATAAAAATAACTTTACAGTAGCTTTATTGATATATTCATTAGTTATGACAGTGAAGAATATATTACTGTACGTAAAAAAGAGTCAAAACAATAGTACAAATTTGAATACAGGTTTTAGAATTTATTAAATTTGTAAATTGTATTAATTGAAATATTGAAAAGTTGAGTAAATAATAAAATATAAAAAATTTATTATAAAAAGTTATTCTGGAATGAATCTATATGATCTAAATGAATCTGGAATGAATGATAAGATCGTATTAAATTAACTATATAGATAAGTCATGAAATTTGATTGAATTATGTATATAATTTAGTTCATTATAATTCTTTCTACAGTAGTCTGCATCTCAATTTTTTGACAAAACGAAATCCTTTGAAAACGTAGTTTGAAATGGGCAAATAGCATTGGTTTTCTACATTAAACTATGACAAAATTATCATTTATCTACATGCATTAGGTTATTAAGACTCATTAAATACATAAAAATAAAATAATGATTTGAAATATATAAATATTAAATATTATAAAAGTTTTTGTTTTTATTATACGTATTTTCACTTCATAGTAATATTTTTCTACTTGTATAATCTGAATCATGTGCTTGTATAAAATTTTCTAGTTAACATTTTGTTTGTATTTTAAAAATCACAAGTTTCTTACTCAAAGATTATTGTAATTTAAAATTTTAGAATATATTTACTAGTATTATAATTATTTTGCCATTGTGCCATCATGTCCATTTTACCGTCATGTCCATTTAGTAAAATAGAATG